ACTTGCTCTCCATTCAAAATCTACTTTGCAACCACCCTTAGCTCTGCTTGCTGTACCCACAAGGACTCAACAGTATGACTTTGGTTGGCCAAGACTAGTATTCCACTGCTAGTGAAAGTTAAATAATGCATCACCTCTTGCACAGTCACATGCTTGTGCTACACTGCACTCAATTCATGACACAATAAAGTCATCAGCATAACAATGATGGGCTAGCAATGCTTTCCTCATATATCTCTGCTGACATGCTCAAATCCTAGCCCCCTATCTACAATCCAAACCCAACCTGCACAACAACTTCCTCTGGTACACATTGCCTCCAGTGCAATGACCACTTAGTGAGCATCACCCCTCCTCCTAAATCATGGGTAATGGCACTTGCTGCATGTGTCATCAGTCCTGCCACTCCTATATCATGGGGATTTGCAGCTCACACCCACCAGCAGGTCACCACTGCTGTTTGGGGCCAGAAAGCACTTCACACTTCCCCCAGTCACTCTAGCCACCCCACACCACATCTCTCATTAGATCTACCTGTACACATCTCCCCTGTACCTACTTGCATAATTACATAACCTTTGCATCTCTGCTGCACAACCTGAGCAATGTCCAAAGACAGTCCTCTCTGGTCAATCATGTCCCAAAATAGATTAGACATTTTCTCCCAGGTCATGCAGAACATCTTCATGGCTGGCATAGCCCTAAATCTGCAAAGCTTATTTTTGGCCAAACCATTGAGATGGACCTCATCCTCCTTCAATGGATTTTGCATGGTTCCCTAAGTGGGAATTTACCACAGCATTGAATGAGCAGTTCCCCTCTTCTCAACTCCTCCTCCCCCCTAATAGGGCTGCTCAAAGTTAGATGTGGAAGAAACACATGAGCAAACTCAAGTGCAGTTGAGTTGTGAGTTTGTGGGTGAATATTAAAGCTCCAACTGGAGATTCAAACTCCACAGAAAAAGCATGTGACCCAGAAATGGTAGATGTGGATGTGCAGATAATGCTATTGACACTCTGATTTAAAATTCAAATTCCACTGTAAAGCATGCATGCTTATCAATAGAGAGATCTAGCAAGTGATAACCACCTACCAACACCATGCCTACAATTACTGAGTGCCAGGAACTCCTAGCCATCCTTCAACAAGCCAGGGAACACTTTGGTCTGCTACAGTACTTAGATATACTATATGTAGCACTGCAGGAGGCTGAAGCTACTGACTCTGATGACTCAAGTGAAGGCCTACCCCAATCTGACAACACCATGACAACCCAATCTTCTGGTGCTGCAACCTTCAGGATCCATCACAATGTCGACTTCTGCACCAGCAGTGGCAGATAGGTCATCAACATGTGCTGTCCCCCAGCCTTATCACATTAAGGACTGTCACTCAGTCCAGCTTGTCCTGCAGTGAATCCTTGCCACGTACCGCTGCCCCAGCTGCGCCTTCACTCATATCCTTATTTCCTCGGTACTCAACTCGGGTGCAAATTCACAGACGCTCCTTTACGACCCTCCCTCAATATCATCCATCACATTGCAGTCTGAGCATATCGTAAGCCTCACGGATGTTACCAGTACACTCCGCGTTGACCAGCGTGTAATTCATATAAGCCGCTTCCCACGCAAGGACTCACTCGTTGTCCGAAATAAAGCCTCGAGGCGGGCAATCTTTGTTATCGCCAGGAGTAAGGTGAGCAAATATGGACCTCACTGTAAACTGGATGCCGACCTAATTTTGCCTACCACATGGTGTAGCATGATAAGCATAGGTTCAGATATGATGACCCTGGATTTTGGATCCGCGACTCGTGGCACTTCATACAGCTATTGACTGGATTTTGCCGTTCTCCCCCCCCCCCTTCTAAGACGGCTAGGTTAGTAGGGTTTCTCTCTCGTGATCCCTCAGCGATCTTCCCCAGTTCCGTGTAGGTCGCGCTGGCCTGAGATAGATTGTTTCTTGGCCAAATTTACTGGACCAGTCGATTGCCGGCTGGCGGAAGCATTTCCTCCCTGCCCTGGCAGTCTACACAATTCCAAACCAGCTCCCGTACCCCGCAGCGACCGTATTGGTACGAGTCGAATGTTGTGATGAGATATCCCCTCCTGCGCCGTGATGGCCTGCTTGGCCCCTAATTGTCATGCTGTGCGATCCACCCAGATCGATCCCCTCCCCATCTACCTGACAGTATTCAAGGGCGGGAGGGGGAATGGGAAGAATACTCAATAATAATAAGTTCCCATTCCTGCCACCACAATCGGAGGATAGCCTATCCTTAATCTCATTTGGCTGAACCCCGTGGAATGGAAGCTGCCGTGACACAGCTCGGTGTTCTCCGACGCGGCGGCCTGTGCTCCCTACGCCGAGCGAAGGTTATTAACTTTTTTTTCTTGTTGTGCACGTTTGCTCTGAGAGATCTAGGATCAGGACTGCGACACGGTGTAAAGTCATGACTGGCGAGATGCTGCCAAAACCCATAGTAACCGAAATTCCCTCTCGGTCCTCCCAAGCAGAACTAAAGAGGTCAAACCGAAATCGCCTTGCATCAGCACTAACCTTGGTGGTGCCAACAATCAGGGCTTTCAATGACAGTCGTGTGCAAAAATGCAGGGGTGCAATTGACCGTAACTGGGTAGGTCTGGTAAGATTCAGCCTTTTTTGTAGGACTTACTAACAATGCTTCGCCCTTGCCGTTGGTAGTCTCCATGTCCATGAGCGGCAGCATGACGTCCTGGTCCCGAAATACCCTATGTACTCGGCCTCCTCAGCTCGCCAGACATCGGTTCCAATGGGGCTCCAAAGGAGCTGCCGCATTCCTACCGTTCTAACGTGCATAGCATGCAGCATGCACCAGTTGTCCAGCCTCTCTAATCGCACGTTCGTCGACACAGAGAATGTCATCCAACACCTCGACCATCGGTGCCTAAGTGCGAACCTATCAATCCAATGGTTTGACCCATTGCTCAACAAAGTCTTGGACAACTTCATATCGAACGTAGGAACGGTGACGACTATGTCCGCCGATCGTAGGCAGGCTAGATCTGCCAAAGAAGTTCCGACCACTCGAGCTATAGCTATGTGTGTCCCTTCAAGCAAGGCGACTTAGTGCTCGGCAGGGCGGATGGTCGGCTGCACGATAAATTGACCACAGGTACAGTACTGTATGAGATGTGTACACGTGCTTGTAGATCGTACATAGAGCCCATGAATACGATGGCTCGCTGCAGGGCACCCGGACATAAAACGTTTCTATAAGCTAAGTAATACGGCGCGCACGAGGCAGCGCTAAAATGCAATTGGAGACGTGACATGACAAGCATTAAAACCAGAGCTTCAACGTATAAAAATACAGTATGCACTCGAAATTAGAGGGCGCGAGGAGGGAAAAATGGGGTCCCACAACCAGCATACAAATTTATAACCTAAAAAGTAAACTACACCAAGCTATTAAGAGGATACAATATTACAATCGTGGCCAGCCTACATCAGTAAGCGAATAGATGGTTCAAACTTGTCACTGACTGATCGTGACCGTGATTGCGCCGTTCCCTGTCCCCCTGATGTATGATGGATGAAGTGTTCGCAGACTACCAGCCATTCAGCAACGAATCTATTTGCTGGTCTTTCTCATGGTTGCTTTTTTTTAACCTGCGGCCCAAAGAACACAAGGACATGGTATTATTGGCTGTCCGCAAGATCTAAACACATTGATTGACTCACTCTTGGACTTCTCTCTTCAAGGCATTCACTTCAGCCGTTAGTTCTGCAATGCGATCGGCCTTGGCATCGTTACCGATTCTGAAGGAATTCTTCTGTCTTTCAGTCTTTAGAAGATAATCCACGGCTCCCAACTCTTGCAATTGCATTATATTCGTGTGTAGGTCTTCTTCAGCTAGTTTCACTCGATTGAACACGGTCATGATCTGTTCGCCGCGGGAGGGGCTGCCGGAACTGGAGGCCGGCAGGAATTTTAGCAGGTTTGGAAGTAGAGTCAGCCCGAAGAGCGACATTGAACGCAGGTGGTCTCTCAAGAAAAGGGTTTTCCTGAGTCCGATTGTAATATAACGGAGACCATATCGAGGATCAGGTCAATCTAGATTGTACACCGTTATTAAGAGAGTGACCACTAACTTCGTTTTCGACGGAACCACCCATGCTATTGACGACGGCACGTCCTTTGCCTTTGTTCAGCGTTGGACTGGCCGGCTCTTCGGCGTCAACAGAAACGAATCCATTGGCCGAGCGGGGGACAGTCGTGGGTGGTGTTAGGAGCATAGAACTTCCACCACCTGAAGACTGATTTTGACTGGGAGGACTAGCTGGTACAGCTGCGAACTCTGCCGGGGCCATGACGGGACTATCCAAGCCGAGGAGGCTGCGACGCGGCACGGGTTGTTGTGAAGAAGATGGAAGTTCTCGTTCCTGGATTATAGAGGAGCTTGGACCTGTTAAGAATAGGGGTGGAGCTTGCGGTACAAGATGATTCCTCAGTCAGTTGAAGAGGACTCATGATCAACAGTGTCAATGCGGTTTCCAGGCCTTTCTTGCAATCCTTTTTGAATGTCCAGGAAACGTTTGGCGTTCGGACTCTGAGAAGGATGCTGTATGGTTGATGGGGTACTACTTGGGGCAACCTGAGGCCTCATCTGCCCACACTATGAAAACATGCGTCAACTATAGCCAATGGCGTGATAGACCAAACTTACCGAAGTAATCGCACCTCTCTGTGCGATCTCGGGGAAGACTGCAACACCAGAAGTCGCTATGGACAAAGGGCGCTTCAGATGCAGTTCGTGATGTCATGGGACAGCATACCGATTTGGATTTCGCACTGTGTGACTGGTTCTTTTGACTGCACCGTGTACACAGGTTGGAGCACGCCGTCCGGGACTTGTCTGCATTGCCTATGGCTGCTGGATGATGCTAGGAGGTGCTGTTAGGAGGTTCGAAATTCGAACCCCCCTGCGTCATTTATGTTATTATGTAAGGAAGTAGTTACTTGTCCCAGACAGCATGCCTCCGTCCATTAATACAAGAGCAGTGTACATTCCACCAGCAGAGCGCGGGCTGCCGGCCCTGGCTCTTCACGTCATAGGCATGGTGGACTCGTACATGCTCTGGTTGGGTGTCACCGAGGAATTGCCCGACACCGTCCAGAATGCACCGTGTTCAGGATCATTGTGTAAAGACTGGGCGTGTGCAATGCCTCCGTCTGGATGCCAAGTACGTATTCTACGCCGTCGCAGCCGACTGCTGACAGAGCCGTGTGGTGTGACGGACGCGCATCAGATGTTGGGGCCAGTATCGCCGTTGTTTCGCACGTCTGGGTCGGACATTGCGTTGTCGATGGCACAGCGGCTTGGTATGTTGTGTACTGCTTTCACAGCCAACCAGAGGTGTAATGGAGGATACTATGTAGCGCAGAAGTTCCGCAAACAAATATTCTTGTCCGTGGATATACCATCGGTCTATCTTGCGGCCCCTTATGGGTCTCGCCTGCTGCTTGACGCAGAAAAAAGGATTGTCGAGGACACTAGATTACAATGTTGCATTGTGATTTGTTAGTAGTAGTGATTTTTATTTTCCTGCCCTTATTATCGATTGCCGACCCTTAACCCCTTCAAAATGTCTTCGCTGTTGGGTCCATTCATGTAGTGCACAGACCACTCGGCTCCCTTTATTTGAGTGTTTTTGTCGACGACCAACTGTGAACTTGGGCGTGGTAATAAAGCTAGAAGTTGCTGCGACGTAGCTATCCACCCCATCCCCATCCCATCCCCATCCCCGTCCTCCAGCTCCATCCTCCATCTGCTGGGAGCATGTCGGAACCCGAACTCGCCTACATGACCAACTCAAACGACGACTTCGACCTTCCTCGCTGGCAGACTCAGGCCCACATCGAGCCCTTGTCTTCCTCAGCGCAGGCCGCGCAGGCTGCCGCCAGGGCTTCGTACCTCTACCCAGGCGCCCCGCCGCCACCGCAGTCTCAGTCCCAGTCCCAGTCCCTTGCTACAGCCACTCATTCCCAGCGATTGCATGCTCTTCACCACTCTCCCAGCTCGTCAAGACAGCCGCGTGTCACCCACGCTCTCGATCAAGATCACCAACAGTCCGTATCGACAACCTCATATCTCTCGGGTGCGCTCAACCAGCTGTCCAGAAGCGCGTCTCTTGGTGCAGGCGCTTCGATCGGGGGCGCAGCAAGGACCCGTCGACACCATCAACCAGCTGACGATTTGGAGGGCGCATTCAACGTTGACGCCCAGCCTTCCAACTCAAGGCCCATGGGTGCACCGCAGCCTCCGTCCGCTTACTCCCTCTATCCCTCCAGCACAAGCCTCCATCAATCTCATTCTTTGCAATCCTCCTCCGCGCCGGGCACCAATACCTCCCCCGCCACAGCCTCCGAACCCTACTCGGAAATGTTCTACAGCGGTTTGGGTGGGAATGTCCCCAAGCGGACTCACACGCAGCTTGATCTTGCCTCCCACTCTGGCCGATCGCCAATGCGGGCAGCAAACTCCCTATTAGATCCGTACCAACAACAGGCGCAGTACTCCCCGACGACCACGCCAACGTATCTATATGGCCCGTCTTCGTCTGACACCCAACGCAGCAATTCGTCTGCTACCTACCAGTCCCACTCCCGCAACCATTCGCAGGCCAAGGGAGACACATCGACGCCGCCAGTCTCTACACCTTTTTCGCCACAGAGCGCAGCCCAAGCAGCCTATGCCGGGTACGCCATGGAGTCATCGAGCCCCCAACCCGCGTCGCATCAAAACCAGTCTCATCTTTCTGCCGCTCAAGTCCCTATCAAAAGCCCTACTTCGACTCCGAACACTCCCCTTTCCTTTGCTCATTCACAAACCCCCGCCAGCCAGTATTATCCACAGGATCAGGCCATGGTCGTCGATGCTCCACAGCATCGTCGCCGTGCTTCTGGTTTCAGAAGGGTCCGGGATAGCCGTGATCTCCGACCTTATGTAAATAACCAACAGTCAGGTAGAAGGGTGGATGCCAATGGCGTCGTGTTATCGGTGTGTGCACCCCCACCGGGTCCCCATTCAACTGCTGATTCACAACACACGTTAGCCGCTGCGCCAGCTTACGACGCACGTCGTCGACACATTTCACGTTTGTAACCCTCAGTTCCGATATGAATCGGCTCACAATCCTCGTCGAGTCCTCACCAAACCTAGCAAACCCGTACACAATGATGGCTACGACAATGAGGATTATGACTACATCCTCTACGTCAACGATTGGTTGGGAAGCGAGGATGGCCACAAGTAAGTCTAGACTATCAACACGATGCAAGATGTTTTTTGAGGAGTTCAAATTAGCCGTTACCTCATTCTGGATATACTTGGCCAAGGCACATTTGGTCAGGTGGTCAAGTGTCAGAACATGAAGACCAATGAAATTGTTGCAGTCAAGGTCGTCAAGAATAAGCCTGCTTACTTCAACCAGAGCATGATGGAGGTAACCATACTGGAGCTAGTGCGTGAATTCACGTAGTCTCCTTGATCTATTATCTGATAGTCATCCAGCTGAATAACCAATGCGACCCCCAGGATGAGCATCACATCTTGAGACTCCTTGACTCATTCATCCATCGGAATCACCTCTGCCTCGTCTTCGAGCTTCTCTCTTCCAATCTTTATGAGCTCATCAAACAAAACCAATTCCAGGGCCTGAGCACTCAGCTCGTGAAAGTGTTCACAGCCCAGCTGTTGGACGCCTTGACGGTACTGAAGGAGGCACGGTTGATTCATTGCGACCTCAAACCGGAAAACATACTTCTCAAATCGTAAGGTTCCTAAACAGCCTGTCCCGATCTAGGTTTGCTGACTGCTTTCGACTGCCGTTCTCAACCCCTCTTAGACTGCAGTCTCCGCAAATCAAGGTGATCGACTTCGGGTCGGCGTGTCATGAACGACAAACGGTGTACACCTACATTCAGTCACGTTTCTATCGCTCTCCCGAAGTTATCCTTGGAATTCCGTATACAACATCAATTGACATGTGGTCGCTTGGGTGCATTGCTGTTGAGCTGTTCCTAGGGTTACCGTTGTTCCCTGGAACCAGCGAGTATAACCAAATTACACGGATCGTGGAGATGCTAGGGTGAGCATTGTTCAACCGTACTGATGCAGAGTCCCCTGCGCTGGGCAATAACTGATATGACCTTGCGCACACGCAGGAATGCCTCCGTCTTACATGCTGGACATGGGAAAGCAAACCAAACAGTTTTTTGACTCCTACATAGATGCATATGGGCAGAAGAAGTACCGGCTGAAGAGCCTCGAACAATATTCGCGTGAGCACAACACTGAACGAGCAGCCGGGAAAGCAGTACTTCAAAGCGTCAACACTTCCAGAGATCGTCAATACAGCGCCTATGCCAAATTTCAAGTCACGCCAGGGGCATGAAGTGGAAAAAGGTAAGCGGTCGTCAGCACGTTCATCGCCGTACCTATGTCCTTGAATTGATCATCGATGCTGATATCTGAATTTTCTCATGCAGAACTGAACAATCGGGCGTCCTTTATCGATTTCTGCCAGGGTTTGCTAAACCTGAACCCAATTGAACGGTGGTCTCCTCAACAGGCCAGGATGCATCCCTTCATAACTGGTGAAAAGTTCACCAAGCCGTGGTCGGTGAGTCTGTTGTTCTCATTATCTTCTCGTAGCGTGATACCTCTTCTCCGTATTTGTGCTTCTAACATGTTCCTGCAAACTCACATTATATCACAGCCGAGTGGACATATGTCCTCGTCTGCTTCAGGAACCGTCAGTGATCCAAAGAGGCCTTACGGTGGTTTGGTGCCTTCACAGCCCAAGGGCACGAGGGCATTCCAGGACGCGGCATCGTACAATCAGCAACTTGCGCAGCACCAGGCGTATACAGCACAGGCTCAGGCGGCTAGTAACGTCTACCGCAATCCATACGTTGCTCCACAACAAGGTGTACAGCAGGCGAATGCGGGAGGGGCAACGCAGGCCGCATATGCAACTGGACAGGACAGTACGAGTGGAACAACATACGGGCCACAGCCTCCCCCCACTCAACAGCAACAACAGCAACCAGCGGCTCATGGGCATCATCAGCACCAGTATTCGGCCTCGCAGCCATCTAATACGCAGCTTGGATTGACGTCTGCATCTGGATACACGCCGGGTGGCCTAGGTGTTCCCGGGATGTTACATCCGAACGCACCACCCTCTTCATACTTCCCTGGCGCCCACGCTCGTGCACGCGCAAACACTATCAATCACGATGCCATCCCTCCCGCACTTGCCCGTCTCCAGCATATGAACCAGGATGTTCTTGTGGGTGGACGGAATGCACTCACACCCGTGCTCAACCGGGATGATGCAATGCGCGAGTGGGAGCGCCGCCAGGCAGGGAAGCCACCTGCGCAAGCACCCTATCCACAATTGGAGTATTTGCAGCAACAAGCAGAATTGGCAGCTGCAGGGGGTGGTTGGCACGGTGGCGCTGGTGCACGGTACGGTGCGGCGCAGCCGTCCAAGTTGTCACAGTCGTACCAACCACAACCAACGATTGTCGTGGACGACGATGGTAGACGTGATGCCATTATGTCGAACGTACGATCAGCTGCGCGAGTCGAGACGACTGCAGGAACAGTGGCGGGTTCCGGGTCATATAATCCGGCGGCCATGGTTACTAGCCCGACACAAGCATTCTCTGGCGCCACGACGGTCGGTGGGGGTCGGTATCAGGCTCCGTCCTATGATGGGCTCGGTGGTCGAACTGACATCGGGACTTTGTATGTACCGATGCAACCCGAGCAGTACCAGTCGTACGCAGGGGGGAGTGTAGGAGCGGCCACGGGGAGTAACGCATCGAGACAACCACCACAAACAAGCCATCAGCCACCCTCGTTCTACGGAACGGCGGTTGCAAGCGCTGTACAGAGCTCAGCCGCTGCACAGCAAGTGCAGCAGCGGAATCCGTTCTCGAATGCAAATGATGGAGGACCTCCGCAAGGACAGATGAGTGGGAAGGACGCGAGAAGATTGAGTGGGATGGACATCTGGTCACGATGATGAACCTGTATGCCACCCGCCATTTATTTATGTACCGTCTACCACTTACGTTTTACCCGTGTGCCCAAGTGTTGCACACCTTTGCCCCCACAAGTTCATTGTCTGTTGGCCTGTCAAATGTCAGAGGGTTTCCTCCTTTTTGTTCACCCCCGCAATTCAACTCATTTTACACGACATTTTTACGGCCCTACGTGTTTTAACACTACTGTCGCAATTCAACCACTCTTCAACATACATGCGTCCAGCTCTATGGTATGTTCGGATGCTATACATATCTACAGGTAGGAGAAGTCAAGGTCTAAGGTCTTGGCTCCTGTGCCTGCTGATTCTCCGTCACCCCGGTTGAGCAGGGCAAGGGTCCAACTCAGTTGGATAGTTCCCCGAAAATCTCTTCCACCTCCCAGGCACCCGCCCAGAATCGCACTTGACACTTGAGACCTTCCTTCTCTCCTTCCTGGGCTATCCGACGTTCCAAGCCACGGAAGCGACGACAGAGGACCACTATCCTGGCTGTAATGAGAAAGGTCAGCAGCAAGCATTGAATGCATGAAGGAGTTGGAAAGAAGGGTCGAAAACACGGACCTTCGCATACGAAGGATTGGACAAAAATCGTTTGCGCCATCCCCGATGTAAATGATACGGTCGTACGCCGGCTGATGACGAGCAAGGAATGCCTCTAGTTCTTCCCCTGGACCGAGAAGCTCTCAGAGTCGACTGCACGAGTGCGCCATGCCTGCACAAACCTTTACACATGTTGGGACTGCATCCAACTTTGCATAGATGTTGTGGACCGGTAGGGTCAACTTCGCCTGCGAAGCTTAAGCAGACCAGAAGGCTCGAAGGAAGCGGGGTTGGTAATGATCTCCTCGAATACGTTTAAAAGGCCCTTGGACTGATACTCTCGAATGAGTATCGGGTTTATCGGGAATGTGCTTCAGAGTTTACCTCGAGAATGGTGGATATGAACACGGAATTTGCATTTGACAGGCAAAAGAACGTAGTGGTGGGACTGAATGCGTTCTTGAGATTAGAGATGGCCCTAACCATGGCCGGATGCTGCGAACTCGTTAGATCAGCCCGGGTATCACAGAGTGCTGAAACACACGAAAGGCATTATTCTAAGGGCATACTCGATGTCTTCTTTCGTCTTCCCACGTTGGTGAAGCTCTTCCAAGGATTGGGCTCTTTACGGAGCAACGGAAAGTTTTCAGAATACCAGCGACATGGAGAGATAGATAGATCTGCAATGCAGAGCAGAGCAATAGGTAGACGACGACTCACACTCACACTAAGTCTGTCCATTGGATTTCGTCCTTGAGTGATTTCATTTTCCTACGGATATCAGGAGCGAGGACTTCAAAGACCCAACGATCCGTATCCTGATCTGCCATGGACCTATCCGGGCCCAATGATTAGTGACACGGTGGCATCAGACAATGTTCATCATGAATTACCAGTCGAAATCAAACACGACCAGCTGCCGCTGGATATCTGAGACCATGGGGTATATTGTAGGCCGATGTCAAAAGTGAGCGAGCGGTAAAAGTCGTTGCCGCCACAAGCGCCAACTGGGTAACTTTGAAATTGCGTTGGGTGGACCGGTGACAGTCTGCTCCCGAGACTCGGATGCCAGCCATCGTCTGCACTGCTAAGGCCTCGTACAAGAAGCAACTTGGCACCCTAGAATTCACCGACACGCACCTTCAATGGACGCAAGATGGAAAGAAAGCACCCTCCGTGAAAATTCCTCTGCAGGACGCTTCGTGTTAGTGACCGATGCGTGTCTCGTTGGCATCCGTGCCTTTGGGAACTGACTCAATCTTTCGCGAGCAGCCCTCTTTTGTAGCAAGGAAGGCGCAGCGCAGGTTCGCCTCAAGCTCGGTCTCGTCAATGATGATGCGGGACACAACTTCACTTTCTCATCCGAGCCCCAGACAGTGGCGCTGGCAGAAAGAGAGACTTTCAAGTCCGAGCTTACGAACGTCATAAGTCGTAATCGCAGTGGGACCGGTGCCGCCCCGCCCCCGCCTGGTGCAGTAACCCCAAAACCTCCGGTGACCGCCAATACCTCTCTCGCATCTTCTAAGCCAAGCACGCCCCTGACAGTACCAGTGTCCAGAGCCTCTGCCTCGAGAGCGACCTCTGTGGCGAGCGATGGACGGTCACCCTTGATACCAGGCGCAGACGCCGCCAGCGACTTCAGACTAAGAAAGAAAGTGCTCATGTCGAATCCAGAACTGTTGGCTTTGCACAAAGACCTTGTAATGACAGGTCAAATTACAGAGAGCGAGTTCTGGGAGGGTAGAGAGGTACGTCATTCTCTTCATTCTTAACCGTGGATGTATCTCGTTTACATGCACAACATGAACCATTTAAAGCACCTCCTGCTTGCACAGGCAGCCGTCGAGGCGCAGAAGCGAGGGCGACCGGGACAACTTGTCGACCCGCGACCCCAAACTGTCGAGGGTGGGGAAGTAAAGATCGTGATTACTCCGCAACTGGTGCACGATATATTCGAAGAGTATCCCGTCGTCGCCAAAGCATACAGTGAAAATGTTCCTAGCAAGGTTCGTACCTTCATCTATTGTTACTCTGTTAATATCGAATACATGCGTTGAGTTTAGCTATCTGAAGCAGAATTCTGGAAACGTTATTTCCAATCAAAACTTTTCAATGCGCACCGAGCTTCGATAAGGTCTTCAGCAACACAGCACGTCGTAAAGGACGATCCCATTTTCGACAAGTACCTTGAGAAAGACGATGATGGTCAGTTGATGCTATTTCTTTTTTGACGTTTTGCCCGTGTTCATTGCCCCTATTTTGCCTAACAGGATTGGAACCAAAACGGCCTCGCGAAGAAGTAGCGGACTTGTACATCAGCCTTGGAGCTACCCTTGAAGACCATGCGGAGGTATGTACGTCTACATGTAGCGCTTCTGTACTCGTACTCTAACTTCTGGGTTTGCACAATGCAGACAGGAAACGAAAGGGATATCACGATGCGGGCAGGTCGCCAGCGTGGTGTTCTTCCCCTCATCCGTAAATTTAATGATCATTCCGAGCGGTTACTTAACTCCACGCTGTAAGTTTTTTACCATTTCCCAACCATTCTTCGAGACCACTGTTTTGTGTAATCACAGAGGAGACAGCCCCCCACTCAAGCGGCAGCGGGCTGAGGGTGATAGCCAGGTTAGTCTCCGCACCCTTATATGCTCCGTGCATATCTTTTCTGCCTCACTGAAAATTTCTTCACGTATAGGACAGCTTTTCTCAGATAGAGTTGGAAGACCTCCGAGACCCCGAGTCATCCATCGGGATCCTTCTTGAAATGCAGGATCGCCAGCGCTACTTCGAAGGGCAACTCATGCGTGGCGTAGCAGCAGAGCAGGCACCGTCGCAGCCTGTGGATGTTTCTGCAGTATATGCTAACTTGAGACGAGACCTGGAGGGTTGGGATGTGCGCTTCAACCAGGTATGTACCCGACTGTGTGCTGTGGAATGTACGGAAATTTCCTGCTGACGCGCGCGACTGAATCTTTCATCCCGGTTCAGTTACGCCTCGAGCGGAAGGCTGCTGACACTGCTCTATTGTCTATGACACAAAATGTGACGGCACGCCTCGACACGAAAACGAAGAAGAGTACATACTTCCCTTTAACCTACTCACACTTACTAATTCTTAACATAATCCAATCTAGACAGCTTACCTCCAGCTCTTTTCCGCCAGCTTACAACATGTCAGACTGCTGCGAACGAGTTCCTACGCCAGTTCTGGGGCGCGACGTGTCCTCCACCCACAGATACTCCCTTCGCACCCTCTCCTGCCCAGCGTTCAGCCAAAGCAGCGAAAATGGCGAGTTACCTTGCTGGGACTCGTGAAAAGGTCGATGCCCTCGTCCGCGTCGCACAGGCTGAAGGTGTGGATGGCACTGCCGTTGAGGTGGTACGTATCTTTCTTAGTTTTATGCATAACCCAATCCAAAGGGCCCGCCAGGCGATGAAACCTGTCCTTGATGCAGTTGAGCATGCGCTTGCGTTCTACCGCACGAAGAACCCTCCGAGGGCAACACAACACAAGCTCGCTTAAGACCATGTTCCAAACGAGGCAATGTATTCAACCACGGGACAAATCGAACAGTCTCACGTTGCCTTAACTCGCACGACTTATCATCATTCCGTACCAAGCATGCATCAGTTCATAACAACCTCATCATCATTATCCTATCGTAGTCTAATAGATCGTAGGTGCAGTACGGGCAAGTCTTGCCCACTGCGTAAACTACCATTAGTACGGCGGCCTTTGCTGTGGCCTCGGCGATGTCGTGCACTCGTACACCGTGAACATGACCACTAAATGCAATGCTGTAGCGTAGCATATGAAAGCGGTCCTGGCACGGCGATTACTTAGTATTGCACGGGTGAGAATCAATACACCTCGCTCGACCACGTTAAGGGCTTCGTACGCTCTTGTAGCCTCCTAAAACCACATCAGTGCTGTTGTTGCAGGATGGAAATAGTCAAAACACCCACGCGCCCACGAAAAGCCTCGAACGGGTTCATAGCTTCCTCATAACGTGTGCTCCATTTGTTAAGCTCGTCGCCGAGTCGAGTGCTGCCGCCAGATACATCCGCAGATGTCCCAGGTAATGGGTCAAGCTGCGAAACGGAAACCTGTTCGCGGTAACTCTGCATATAACGGACCTTTTCGTAAAGCTTCAAGTTGTCAGATTGGAGGGACTTAATTTCGGTCCGGAGTTCGGAGATAGTGTGGAATTGCTTGCGGAGTTCCTATGAGGGGAGGTTAATGACTGTCTAGAGAAGTGGGTTGTGCAAGGACGCAGACTGTCCAAAGTAAATAATTGCATGAAGTATGCCCACCTCTTCAAGCTCAGCATTTCTCTGTCTGAATCTATCTCTCTGACTTGTCACAATAGGCAAGATACTCGTATCTGCAGAGGAAGTGAACGGAATCGGGGTTGTGTGTATAGTAGAAGACTCTCCGGTTATTGCGGAGCTGCTTTCATCTTTGCCGATGTCACGCATCAAATCAGCAAGTGGATCATCAGGGGCTGCGCGGCCAGCTCCAGTGCCCGAAGGAACGGGACGCTTGTCGACTGCGAGAAGGTCCGTTTCCAATTGTTCATTAAGTTCCTTTTGTTTGGATAGTTCCAAACGCGCGGTCTCTAGCTCCGTCTGGGTGGCTTTGAGGGATCGTTCCAGGGAACCATGGAGAATCTACAGAGATCACGCAGGTAAACACATCGCAACATACATATCCAAGGTGACCCGTACCCTGAAGCGCGTTAATTCTTCCAGGATCCGTTTATTCTTGGCCGCAAGGAGGACTTCAAGGCTCTTTCCCTGTCGCGCATTTGCCTTGTCGGCGTTTGGGTCAGGAAGGTGCACCCCACTCTCGGATTCATGTGACGACCAGTCATCTGCATCTGCGTCGTCATCGTCGAGACCGCCAAATTCAACGTACTAGAGAACGTAGGAATATAGGTACTGCCGCAGCTGGTAAGAGGCATACCGGCAACAGTACGCACCTTCATAATCTCGAGCTCGCGTTTAATCTCATCATAGTCAGCATATGCTACGAGCTTCTGACGCAACCCTGCTGTCTCCTCGGCGAGTTCCTCTCGTTCGCGCTGTGCCCGGCGTACCGACTCTGCGTCGCGTTGAGTAAGTTGTGCATAAGCCGTAGTAAGTTGAGATTGAGCTGTAGCGAGACGGGCAGTAAGGTCGGCATTGGCAGATTCGAGCACAGATACCCGGTCTTGGAGGGACGAAACGCTGGGTTTATGGTAAATACGCATACCCAGATGCAAGTGTGACCACGAACATTGTACTGCTTTCGCCCTCTGCACGCAGTGCCTCGATCTCGGCTCGCAGTGTTTCCTGAACCGACGAGCGGGAAGTCAGCTGTTCTAATTTATTCATGCAAGCGGGGTAAACGCACATTGCGACCCTCGACGACTGCTACCCTGTCGTTGGCGCGTTCCAAGTCAACGAGAACCATATCAGCCTCGGCAAGTCGGGAGACGAGGTCCTGGTCTGATATAATTAGTTAGTGAACAAGAAAGGAGTCATTTCTAGTGTGTCATCTATCTGAAGGGAGTAAATACACTGAAGATCACCCACCAGCCTTGGAGCTAACGTCTAACAGCTTGGCCTGGTTAGTCTCGTTTGACAGCCGCAGATCTCGCAATTGCGTTTTATAGAGGGAAACTTGGCGAACGAGATCCTGCTCGCTGTAGATGGATGGACTCATTGACAAGGGGAATTGTACCTGAGTTACCAACGTGCACACCCACCGTTCCTCATAGTTCCTCATCCTTTCATCGTATGTCGCATTAAGTTCATTCTCCTTCTGAGATACCTTCTCGGCAATAAGGTCATCCATCTATGCAACGACCGTGCACAAAGTTAGTGCTGTCCTTCGCTGGAACAACAGTATCACACCTTTGTTTCGAATACTTCCAACTTTCGCTTCGTTGCCTCTAGTGTGCTGCTTTCTCGGCGAAGATCCCCATTTTCTGACCTAAGACGAGACAACTCAGATTTGAGAGAAGCGACTTCTGCACTCAGTGAAGCGTTTTCGGTACTGGCGATGGCTTGTTCCTGTAGAAGTATGGAGACACGCGAATATTAAGTCAGGTTGACCGACACGACTCCACTGCAACATACCACAGCAGCCTCTAGCAGGGGGTAGGGGTCTGGAGCTTCTGCAAGAACCTTGTATACATTGAGAAACGCAGACTCGGCTACCTTTGAGCGTCTTGTGAGCCCGTCAATTTCTTGCTGGTATGCTGGATAGACATGTCAACATCGAAGGGATGAAGGGCACGCCTTGAACGTACCCTTGAGTAACCCTTTGAAAGAATTGAGCTTCTCATCGTCGGGGATCTTCTTGAATTCTGCGAGCAGCGTGCGTAAGTGGTGACCACTGGGAAGCATATGGCAGGTGCAACAGTGGACGTCCACATCGGCGAGAGGCCAGATGCCTGCGGAAGAAAGAGCACGACTACACACCTTTCGTGCGTTCTGCAAGCCCCTTCCTGCTCAGGACATTCTCCTTCTGGTTCTCTACGATCTCGATGCCTTGCGCGTCGAGTGTTTTCTGGAGTTCATGGAGGTTGACAGCTAGATAGAAAAAGGGCCGTCTCAGCAGTTGAGTAGGCTCTTCGGTAGGACGAGGACGTACATTTCCAAGTGGCGAGCGCACCCGAGAAGTTGTGTTCGGTCGAGCTCATCGTTGTTCACCAGCGAGAGGCCAGTAAGCGAGACCCGTAGTGTAATTGATTTCCGGCGCTTGTCACCACCCAAACACGTCGATTCAATTTTGCTCGCGTCGGACGACGACGTACGATAAGGTCGCTCAGAAACATGGCCACTGTCGGTCTGAGGGCGTTCGAGATGTTTGCCAGCAGGCTCTCATGCAGGCTACCCCGTATTCACGCCTTCACCCTGCGTTCGCTGACTACCGGGACGGCGGCGACACCGCCGCCTCTCAATTCTCGGTTTGTACCCCCTGCATCTCTCGAAACCATGGACGAAGTAGAACTGGAGGGAGACCAGGTCGACTTCGACGTCAGCAGCCCGCCACACCGACCGCGCCCCGAGAACAGGCGTCCAGTACCACCGTCACCTGCCTTCTACACCGCCCGGTCGCTGTACTACGATACCCTCGTCCAACTACAGGCCGCCCTCTCGCTGTCCCGTCGAGCACTCCGAGCACAACATCTTCTCCCCCTCCCTCCGTTTGCTTTGCGAGCTCTCCCACCGGCCCAACCCGCTTGGGCCAACAAGGCCGAAATGAGTCTCATCCTCCAAGCACCCCTTACTGCTCGCATGTATAAGCGCGTCGTCACCCTTCTGAAGGAGCTCGAGCAGTGCGAGCGCATAGCCCGCATTGCCGATTCCACCGAGCTGGAGGATGCTATCACGGACATTACAAAGGGATTCGAAAGTAAAAAGGGTATCCAGGCACGCGACACTCGCATACGAGCACGAGAGGCGAAGGAGAAAGGTCCTCTTGACAAGTACGGCCGAAGCTACACCGTCGGTCGTAGAAAAACGAGCACTGCGCGTGTCTGGATGATCGAGGTGCAAAAACCCAAAGACGACGCATCCGTGCCCGCTGCGAACACCAAATCGATTTTATCTTCGTCCAGTGCAACCACCCCCCCACCTCCTACCTCAATTGTTCTCATCAACTCGGTTCCCATCTCAGACTACTTCCCTCTCCCAGCTGACCGCGAGCACGTTGTGCGCCCTCTCAAACTCGCTGGTCTCCTTGGCGCGTTCAATGTTTTTGCTCTCGTTCGCGGCGGAGGTACCTCCGGTCAGAGTGGAGCCATTGCTCTCGCTGTAGCTAAGGGCTGTGTTGCACATGTACCGGAGGTGGAACCAATTCTTAAGAAAGGCGAGTGGAGTGCCAATCCCGCATTACATTCAACCCTGACGGTCTTCTTCAATAGCCAAGTTGTTGAGGAGAGATCCCCGCATGGTCGAACGGAAAAAGACTGGCCTGGCCAAGGCAAGGAAGCGAGTAAGTGGCCCCCTTCAGTGTGACCGTAATCGTTTTGTTCTTACTCGCGGCGTGCGCGATAGTACACTTGGGTCAAGCGTTAGTCTGCCAGCCAGAAACTGCATCCCAACACCCACAGCTGCTCCCTATCACTACCTACTTACAACTACAGCATGTACTAAGCATTTACAATGCTCTACCTCGCCGGAGCAGCCTCTTATTCTGCTCTCGAGTACAAATCCATCTCATTTCCGGTGCCCACGAGTGTATATGTTTCAGCGGAGAAACAATACGCCGTCCCCAAATCCAGTGAACATATTCATCTGCCGTACTCATTCCGTTATATATAGCGTATCGAAGGCAAGTCACTCTCAGTATGAGATCCTGGTTTTTTGGTGATACATAGGGCAAGACCAATGTCGTAGACACGACCATCGGACTAGCAATGCCTAAATGTTCAACTCAACTTTCATGGATTCAGATAGAATAAACAAGTATAAAATGATATATAAGAATACAAAAAACCTGTAATGATATCGTTCACTAAGAGTAGAGTCCATCCACTCCTCTAAACCCAATCACCACCTTAAACCCAAAGACACGAGAGACGAAATTATGACCTGAGACCGAGCCAGGTCGTAGAGTTGTAGGCTATGGGATGCACAGCACGATTAACGCTCGTGAGGTGTATCGTATTGGGGAGTAGGGGGGAGTGAACAGCAGGTAAACTTTCAGAATGTACCTATTTATTGAAAATACACCGTCTGGGCATCACTTTGGGCGAAGGCAAGGTTACAATGTGGACACCGACGTTGACGGGTGCTGATGCGAGTGTCGACACAGTTCTTGCAGAAAGCTGGAAAGCATGTTACCGACCAAACAAGAAGACATAAATGGCACGCACTATGCATGCACTTGGTAAGTACGACTTCTCGCATGCCTTGTTTGCATGTACTGCACTTCATAAGTTTCTGTTGACATGCAGGATGAGCACTCTATCGGAACAGATGGATCAGTTTGCATCAAACCCACCCAAAGCCCTTCTATCTCCTGGCTCAAGGCCTCCTCACGTACACCCACAGGGGCCGCTGCAGCACTCAATTTCTTAACTTTCTTCTCTGTCTCCCTCTTCACCCTTGCCATCTCTTCGTCAGCAGCCCTCACCTGAGACTCGAGCCTACGTTGGAGTTGAGTACTCTCAGATACATAATTGCGGGCCTACATGTCGCGAGTCAAGAAGTGGCAGCTCACGTGCAACGAAACACGTACCTGCGTGAAGCGCTTCTTGTCAGCCTCGGATATGGATTGCAGTTTCTGAACCTCAAATTCCAGCATCCTTATCTTCTTGTCAGATTCTTCGATCGTTCTCCGGCTTATGGCACCCATTTTCTCAAGGTCGCCCTGGATTGCAACACGGTTTACCATTCATACCACCTCGAAGGTCGAAAAGACATACCACTTGTGCACTGAGATTCTTCTCAACTTCTAACGCACGTTCCACGGCCTTGCCTTGTTTCTCGAGCTGGCGCACCATAGCCTTCCTTTCGGATTCTCCCATCTCCTTTTCTCGCATGGTGGCAAAGTACTTATTCTCTGCTTTTGCTTTCTGCCCTAACATCAGCGCCTATCACAATCAGTCACTGGTACGTACCTCATGCATCGTTTTTTGCAGTTTTTCCTCAAAAACAGAAAGATCAAACACTTTCTTCTTTACTTGTTGGTCGAGGTTTTCCCAGGAAGAAGAAAGCCTATCAACCTCGGCGCATAGCGATGACTCGCCCCGCGATTGTTGCTCTACAAGCAAGCGCAATTTCTGTAACTCGGCTTCCTTGTCCCGCAACTGACGTGCTAATGCCGATGCATCCGACGCCTCTCCAAGCATAGAACGATAACGTGTGAGTTCTTTAGACGCCTTCTCAAGTTCCTCGCGAGCAGATGCCTCCGCTGCGACGTGCCGAGAGACATCTGGACATTCACGTTGCAATGTAGATAGCGATTGCTCGAAAGCAACCAACTTCATTTCCGTTTTCCTGAAGAATGCAATCTATTAAGGTATATTCATGCATGATATCTTGAACGTACTCGAGTGTTCGCTTCAAGTTACGGACGTACTCGATGTCATCGACCTTGCCCTCGAAGAAGTATTTCATGAGGTCCTCATCACTGGATTGCGCAGCGATTTTCGCCTTATGCCGTGCGATTTCTGACTGTAACTGTGCTATTCGTTCTGAACGTGACTCTGCCAGATCCTTGAGTTCCTGCAAGGACTGCAGTTTCACAGAATCTTTTGCCTTGCGCTCCGCCAGTTCAGCGCCATACTGATCCCGCGTCTCCCTTAGTCGGAGATTGTCGGCATCACGTTTACTCAAGAGCGTTTTCAGTTCTTGTTGCGCTTGTTGTGAGGCAACCTATGTAACGTGAGAACAGACGAACTGAAGACTTGAACCACGCACAATAGTATCGTCCTCGAACTCTTTCCGAGAAGACCGAAGCTTATCGATCGTCTCATTAAGCTGAGAGACCTCTTGCGTGTATTCGCCAACCGTGTGTTCCAGTTGAGAAGCATGATCCATTAATAACTTATAATGGGCCGTCTCCGCAATGGTCTCAACGGTTGGTGCCTCAATCTAAGGCAAAAGGGCTGTTAGAATGAGCAGATGCATGCGGGCCATAGTTGCCACAAACCTCGACCTTGAGTTTAAATACTTCCTCCACTAACCGAGCATTGTCGTTCTCCAATGAAGTTATACGGGCCTCCCTGTGTTTTAACTTCTCACAGAGCTCCTCTAAATCTCCCGCTGGAGTGTGATCGTGTCCATTCAGTTCGGGAGGCTAGCGTGGCATTAGCGTTGCGGTGTGTGCACTTCCAATAGCTACTTGCCGGTGGTGAGCCTGAAGGATCTGGACTGGGACCCTCAGTTGGTCGGGAATCTTCTTCCATAGCATCTTCCTTCGGAGACGACTTCGTTTGTATAGCAGCAACTGCATTACTCCGTAGACGATCTATCCGTATCTCTGCAGCGGCAAGATGTTCACGGTATTTGCGCACGTCAACGTCGGCTTCCTCAAGCCTCTTCCGCACGACAACCAATTCCGAACGTAGAGCTGTACACTGAGGATACTTAGCCGAACACGTCCAGGTCAAGCACAAACAGCATACCTCAGTTTCCGTCTTCTGAAATCTCTCGTATGCATCGTTAACTGCTGCCGGGCCTGACTTCAAGAAAGCCGTGACGAGCCTCCGAGTCGCATGCATGTTCTGTTCGAGAGCGGCCTTCAAACCAAAGTCGGAGGTGACATGCTGAGAGAGGTCGAAAAGATCTAAGAAAAAGGTCTTAAATTGAAGGGCAGTTTCTACAAACTGAAATCAAACCTTTAGTATCCACGTCCACTGCAGGCAAGTCGTCCTGGGAGGTAAGTGTCCGAATAGTTTCTACCAGCTATTGAAGGGGTGTCATGGTCGAACATAGCACTTACGGCGCCGATCTGCCTACCTGCTGCCAACATGCTGCAATAGCAACCAAACCCGCCTCACACGAGTTTTTCCTCTGTTCTAGCTGTGCAATGCGCGCCTGGCTCTTCTCGTTTTCCCTTGAGTAGTGTCTCATCCTCCGGAAGATGGCATCCTTGCGAAAGAGCTGAAACCATGACGGTGTGACTACCCACATACCAACCACAATGACTGTTCTCTCCCACCTCAAGCTGATCGTTCTCTGTGGGCTCTGCTGAATCTGCTCTCACACCATTGAGCTCCGGACTGCCGCTGAAACCGGTGAAGACACGTTTTTTGACCTGGGAGGCATCACCGTCGTCTGAGTAGGGTCTCTTCCTTGACTCCATTATAATAAATGGATGGCAGAGACTTAGAAAGCAATTAACGACAGGAGTGCAAAGCAAACGGTCCCCTTCAAGGATTTGTCGGCAAGCGGTCGATATTTGAACTCCGACGGCACCCAAGTGGCTAAGCGCGCCTCCGTGTTTACGCCTGACTCACAAGTATGGCAGACGCCAGCTCATCGCGAGATTGAAGGATGAGGGCGCAATCGTTCTTGGATATCTATCAGACCTCGGGTAACTTCATGTACAGAGTTTCGTCTAGATCAACTATCTCGCAGTCCGCCTTGCCGCCATCTCCGATCTGTGTTTCTACGCAGGAGAAATCCATGGCCTAGGGCAGAAGGATGTAAGTCAGCCCCAGCTCGTGAAAAGGGCTTAGAAATACTCATACCCTTTCGAGTACCGTCATCGGCTGGTCTGAGTTGAACGTCAGATGTGTGCGTGGTCCTCGATGGCTTTCGATACTCACGCCATACTGCAGTGTTATACATTATTCCCTGTGCTGCGGTAGCAATGAATGCTCGCAACGTGGACAGTTCGGGCTTGTCGTCATCACCATTGAGTGCGACGACGACCAGGTATTTGTTCCCTGGTTCTCGCAAAGTTTCACCCCCAGAAAAACCACATGCGCCCATCGGGATGAAAGCCTGGTTCGTGTATTTATGTCGTTCAAGCACATTCAGTTCAACCATGCCATCCGTAACTTTTACCGGGTTGCAGCGGTAAACCGAAATCCCAGAAGTGGCACTATGGCCTTCTGGGTACGACGATTTGATCAAAGCGAGCTTGTGAAACTTCCTGGCCGTCCCTCCATTTGCTGGTGTAATCTTCGTCCCGGGAGGGGCTGCCGCGTGATTATCATACGCCTGAATAACCTGGCCGAAGGCGGCGAAGGCTTCGAGCGTCAGAGGAAGTGCTGGTATGACCTTTCCAATAGTGGCCTTCCGCCTAATTGGTGTTGCAATGCTTGCACACTCCGTAACGGTTTCCGGGACTGCATACTCTTTGTATGTGCCTCTTGTCCCGATGATTCTCAGTCGTTTAACACCTCCGTCAGGATAAATCGTTAGTTTCACGTGTGTGAACAGGCTTTCTTGATCAGCTTCCAACTGGAAAAAATGTCGGCGATGTGGGCCAAGCTTCACCTGTGACAGGATTGTAACCCAGTCGGTGCTATCGCTGTCTGGGATATCGCTCGTAGCGTTGATCGCATGGAGCTCGCAGCTCTCTGGAAAGTTTCCGATGAAGTTAGCAGTGTCTATCTCGGCGGTCTGCAATCGTCCTGGAGCACCACTGAAAGGCGTGCAGTCAAGACCCGCGAGGCATCAGGACATGTGCTTACAGCCTCACGATAACCCAGTCTTTGTGACCTTTCTGTCTACTGCGTTTAGTTTCCCAGCCGTCACTCATGTCTTTACCTGCGTTGTCAACATTTTTTTTCGGTGAGATCCAAATTTCTGGGTGGCAGTTTCAAAGATTACCTCGTCCCGGAAGAATCAAATTCGACCCAGAACCATAGTGTTGATCGGAGGTAAATACGACACGTCCCCCCGCAAAAATGTGAGCGAGATCGAATAGTTCGGAATCGTCCGCTGGTTGAACCACAGAAATATGCCCGTACACTCGAAACCTGGCCTGCGCGCAGTATCAAACCTGGATCACCGTCCATGAGTAGTGGTATGTCACTCACAATACCACCATCTGGATACATGTTCAACTTGACACAACTGTAGGGAGAACTCTCGGGGATGGTGAAAAGATGCCTCGCTGATGGCCCAAGGGGTACCCGCGGAAGGATCTCCGTCCACTTGTAGGAAATTAACAAGCATGGCAGAGCAGAAGCGTGCCGATCGTACTTGCGCATCATGCAGTCCGTTCTCATTTTCTTCGGTCGAGAGAAGGGCATCGACGGATACTTCGGGTGCTTCGTTGCCTAATCTGATTGCTTGAAACAATTACAAAGGACGGAAGACAGGCCAACCGACCATTGAAGTGGGAGGTATCGATGTCGAAGCCGACGATAGTGCCAGTAGTACCCAACTTGATTATACACCTTATGACCAGTGACTTTCGGGCATACTGCGATAGGGAGCTAGACGCACCAGTCATAAGCAGGATTGTGTCTCCGGGTCTCCCAGCCACTATACAAGGCACCATTTGGTCCATACTGTCCTTTGAGACTGGGTGCTGGCTACCCGGCGTGCGATAAGCCAATCGGGACGCAATGAAGATGTGTACTGACTTCGACTAGGAGGAGATGATATGCCTCCGCGAAGAACTCGTCGGAGACTTGGATTATCTCTCCCCCCAATGCCACACTTGACAATTCTGTCTCCAAGGGATGTCATTAGTCAGAGGGGTCCGGTGTCAGAGACATGCCAGATTCTCACCGGTGCTCGGGCCAAAGATGACGGGAAAAAGCTCCAAAGGAACTCTCTGATAAGTCATGGTCAGCGAATTGTTCAGGTCCAAGTAACGTAGACTGAGGACAGCAAGCACTAGTTCGAAGCGGTACTTAACACGATACGCCTCACGACACGAAAGCAATTCGGAATCGACGGTACTCGGGCCGTTGGAGCATTCACGACCGCCCGTTCATTGGTTGATAGGCTCTACTGCACGGGGCCACGAAAACAATTTAGAATCTACGGTGAGAGCGTTTACTCTCGTCATGTAAGTCGAGAAACCCATTCACCGCATAAACGAACCAACCCATATGGGCCGGACGAGGGGAACCAGCTTATCGCACATGGTGCTAGTGAGACAGCGACAGGGTCAACTATCTTCTCTTGATCTTGAGCCTGCCAATAATATTGTACTGTTGCACGCGGCGGAGGCTAATAACTTCTTTTCATTCTCCTGGTCGGCACTCGAGAAGTCCATGTATTTCACTCATCCTGCAGTGCGTGTTGGCTCCCCACAAGACCTGGTCAGCCTGACAATTGCGCGGTGAGCAGTGTCGTGCACATTCTGCGAACCTCGCATCCAAACATGTCGCTGTATTGACCCTTTTACCCTCTCTGGGACACCCCACCATGGACATGCGGCAAACAAATGCAACAGTGGACAAAAGGACTGAAGCAAAAATTAATTCCAACAAGCGCACATTCGCCACGTGGAAGACAGAATAGGTTCGTTCACACCCGTCCACCGAATATTTCTCTGGAAATCCGGTGAGTGCGATGGAGATACTCTTGCCCAGGTGAGTAGCCGAAAGAAGCTGGTCGCAGCCCAGTCCACATCGCAGTCGATTGTCCTTCGACCCCCGAGTAAACGGGGGCGCATCTGGTTAGGTATATAAGGTCTTCGACAAACGGCAGACAGTATCGGTTTCCCCTTCTTCGCTCGGTGTCCTACGACTTTCCCGAGTTATATCTGTGAAAAATGTCCTGTAAGTACTATCATTCCTGGAGGATCCTTTTTCTTGTTGACACCGTGGGTCCTCTGCTTAGCTCCTGTACCTTACGCCACAGCTCTCACTCCAGTGCAAGTTCCCCTTGGGCATTTCCCGATCGAAGTCGTCCAATTCTGGCGGGGTGAAAGAGCCCCTGGACAGCCTTTCCCCCCACATTGGGCCATCTTCGTGCGGACAGCAGGTTCTCTCGGCAACTACTATCACGTCCTTGGGAACGTCGACACTTTTAGGGTGGCCATCGAACGCAATTTTCAGCAAACAAACGGTGGAGCGTGGAGAGGTAGCCACACCGTTGGATATGTTGCGCCCCACCACTTGGCCGCTTTAGAGTCCGCTCTTTATCATGTGCCAGTCGTTCGATATGACCCTTCCTGGAACACCCAGAGATGGGTTCATGAGGCAATTCGGACACTCCGTAGCCTTAATTTTTTTATCCACCCGGAGGTAACAACGGCGAGGTTGCAAACCCAGATGGCATGTCTACTTGAGGCTTGGGAAAATGGGGAGATCTAGGTAAAGTTCGGGCTTTAGAAAACGGACCGCGAAGGTCCACGGAGAGGGAGATGGACACTAAAGACGGTTACGACTTCACAAAAACAAATTTTTCTTAGATCTCTCGGGCATTGTAACACTAGCAGGGGCCATCATGGGGTGTATAACAGTTCCTTATCGTTTTCATTGTGTGCCAACAGAACAAACCACGCTGCAATCACGGACGAGAACATCTTTATTTTCAAGGATCAGCGGAGTTTCAACCATCCAACAGCACGTGGCATGCTAAAGCTTACCAGAACCAAGGTAGATGTGAGAAAGAGTCAGGCCGTCTGAAGCCATTGTCTATTAAACCACCGAAGATATTGGCGAGATGAAGTATAAGTAAGTCTGCGATCAAATGAAGTTATACGCGTGCCAAGACCACCCGCTGCTTTCCCCATGGGTCCGTCCATATCTCTGTGTGTCTAAGGCCAGCGGAGCAGTGTAAGATGTTCTCGACGGCTTCTGCTTGTCTATCTCCAACTTCCAAGGCGACCGTAGCTCCGTTTCGGAGTATGCCTTTCTCTGCCAGGAAACGGGCAATTAGATGGTAAAAAGACAAGCCATTCTGAATTGGTGATTCAGGCAAATCGCCGAGCAGAGCACGTGGGTCCTCGTAATCCTTGACGGAAGGGGAGAGTTGGTCATACTCTTGCTCCGGTATGTAGGGCGGATTAGCTGTCACGACATCAAAGGGAGCTCCCAACTTCTTAAGGAACTTAGTATCACGGAAGTCGCCAAGCACGGGGACGAATACGTTGCAGAGGCTGTCAGCGCCTGAATGAGCGGGGATATTGCACCGTGCTGCATTATCGGTCGCTAACTTGATTGCTTGCTTTGAAATGTCCACGCCGAAAGCGCGAGTGCTGCCTGGTGGCCAGAGATGACATAAAAGGAGAGGTATGCAGCCTGAACCAGTGCAGAGATCCAGTACCGAGAGTGGGCGACTACTCTTCGGAGAGATGGTATTAGCGAGACGAAGGGTCCAGTCTTCGGTCTCTGGCCGGGGTATGAGGGTGGGTGGCCGGCAGAGGAGGCTTAGCGGTCCAAATGGTGTGGTGCCTGGAAAAATCTGAGGTCTGGGCAAGCTGTCAGACTGGACTCCTACCCAAGATGTATTGGAGCGGTTCTCCTTGCAGCCTTCGTTCCACCATCTTCTGGAGTGTGGACGGGTGGTCCGAAGGCCTGAGGGACTCTTTCATCCATTTCAATTCAAGCCTGGCACTTTCGCACCCGAGGAGGGACGCGAGCTTTTTGGGAAGCTGGCTCAGCACATTGCCGCTGGGACTCCGCATGAGATCCAGTAAATCCGCGCCCCCACGACGTCGACGTCGGCCTACCAGGGTACTGCCTATCAGGGCAATCACAGCTAATGTTTTGTGCATGTCCGACCAAAATACATAGATGATATTATTTCACGTAAATACGGGCTTGATATTATCATGTCATACGTGGCGAGGGACGCACAAACCTATGAGACATAAGTGCCTCTGGTGGTCACCATCATGAATTGCCCGAGCGAAATCTATTAGAGAAGGGTACAATGAAACATAAATATAATATAAATATTCAAGATTGCGATATTACATAATAAGCGGTCGCGATCTCCCATGATGTAAATGGAATGCAATCAGGTGGTCCGTCATCGGTTTGCGGCCGAATGTCTTGTCGCGGAGGGAACTAGCAGCGTTTCGCCAACGAAACACCTCCTCGTCTTCCACGTATTCCCTTGCGGCTTCCCTCGTGGCCAGCAAACGCCTGTAGCTTTTTGTATATGTACCTATGACACTTTCAATCACCAATCCCGCACTCGCCGACACCCAACAAGCTTCGACAATGCCATCCACGACCGTCAGTACTGCCTATATTAACCCCGCACACATGGCCCAAGACCAGCAAGCTGAGCCCACGCCATCAAGGCGCAGGACTTCTACTACTGGGAAACGAAGGCGCGCACCCACTCCAGACGAAAGCGCGGACTCCTCCTCACAAACTCCTCGAAAGAACAGAGACGGCCCAAAGAAAAAGAAAGCCAATCGCGCTTGTGCACATTGTCAAAAAGCGCATCTCACTTGCGACGACTGTGGGTACATCTGCCTGCGCGGCATGTTTGATGTCTCACTAAGCACCTGGGCTAGCACGACCTTGTCAGCGCTGCATTAAGCGCGGAATGGCTCACTGCTGCATTGAAGGTTATCGCAAGAAAGCCAAGTATCTCCTTGACGATGACGAACTTGGTATGTCCTCCCTGCTGGCATCTATCTGTCCCCGTTTCCGATCACGTGCACAAAACAGAACAGCTCAAGAAAAAGCAGCCAACCCCTAAGGAGAAACAAGAGCCCGTCGTTGCCCCACCCCGTAATTTCTCGCTTCTTCTCACCTGTACTCTTTCGTACTGACTGCAGTAGCGGAACCGTTCCCAACAACCGATCCTCTCTTCAACCTGAGTTTCGACCCTCAATTTCCATTTGGCTCAGAAGCCGCGAACTTGGAATATTCCATTCTATCTGCGATACTAGGCAATCCCAGCCCACCGTCTGATTCCACCAGCCCACCGTCGCCCTCTCAACCCCCGATGCCTTCAGGTCTCCAGAGTTCAACTTGGTCGCCTGAACCACTGCACGCACAGCCTCAGTTCTGCCAAAACACTACAGTAAATCCATATGGACCAGGATTTGCAGATCAAGTACAACTTTCTATGCCCTCATCGGACGTGATGCTTGCTGCCCCTCCGTCTTCAACATTTGTGTCTTGCTCTCCCACCCAGGAATCTCCAGAACTGCATTACTCCCCCTCGTATAACCACATACAAGCATCACAAGCTGTAGGGTCAGCGCGACCCGTTCCTTCGCGGTATACTCGTGACATGCTTGCCTCCGCACCTGCGGTTATGGTGCGGGCACCTTCAAAAGAGACTGGTTCTCAATCTCTCGTGTCATCGCGACACACATCGCCGTCTCCTGAAACTTCCACGCATTCTTGCGGTGCTGATAACCATTCTGTTAGTACATTTACTCGTTCGTTCACTTGGACGTAGGTTAAATCGCTGCAGCCTCTGAACGTAACAGCTCCGTACGACTATACGGAAGGCTATCACTTCTTGATGAAGCATCTTCCGACACGGTGCGTGCATTTTCGCGTTGAGGCATCACGCGTGAGTGGCCCCTGTGGTCAAATCCTGATGTTATGCCTTGGGTCTCTTGGGCCGTGGATGACACAGTTTTGAGAAAAATGACATCTTGCGTATTGTGCGGGCGCTTGCCATTTTTCGCCCTTCACTCATTGCACTACAAATGCCGCTGACGGAAGAAGATGAAGTATTCGTAGAGAGGTGTTTCCAGAGGTCTTTGCTGGTGAGAAATATGCCATAACGTTTTACCTTCGAGTACTCGAGTACTCAATGGTTTTCATTCAGGAACTGGAGAAACTTATCTCATACAGCGGGACCCCAACCGTAGTCTGGCGACGAACTGGGGAGATTTGCCTAGTAGCGCCCGAGTTCTGCATGTTGACCGAATGGCCTATTAATGAATTGGTCGGGAGGCGGAAATACGTTTACGAGGTAAAGAAGTGCTTCTCGACCTGTCTCGACTTGGCGCAACTTACCTTCTACATCCAGCTCTTCGAGAACCAATCAGTTGTTGAGTATTGGGAAAACTTTGCAACCCATGCGTTCGAGAACACGACGAAATCCGTCTACTCGCATTGTGTCCTGCTAAAACCGTCGGGTGCACCAATTCCGGCTACGTTTTGCTTCTCGATACGGCGTGATATTTTTGATCTGCCCAGCATTGTCATAGGTGCGCTCCACCAGGTCCCGTCCCTTACTCCGGATCGACTAATTAGCTTGTGCTTGGCGGCGCGCATGGCGTAAAGGTCAGTGGCTGCCACTGCTATAGCCCTCGCGGTGACACCGGTTCTCGTCTTATCTGCTGTCTTTTCTTTTCTTTTCTTTTCTTTTCTTTTCTTTTTCTTTTCCATTTTTGTCTTGCCTTTGTTGAATTCTATGTATCCATGCCCTTTTTTTTCCTCCCACAGAGGGAGCGTGTCCTATACATCCATGAGCTAGCCTCTGTTACGGCATACTGTGCACCCTTTCCTTCTCTTATTTGTCCTCATTTCTCCTACTATCGCATCCCAGGGACGCTGCAGTATCCTGTCTAATAGCAAAAGCCGTTCTGGCAAGGGATGCAAAATAACCACACATACTAGATCCCAAGATCCCTTCCGGGCCTGCATCTACATGCCCGGCCGCACTATTATTACACGTACCCTTGCTAGTCGGTGACTCACTGTTCGTGCTAGATTTTCTCTTTATTCTGTATAGAGTTTCTATTATCACTGTCGATGCAGTTCGGCATTTTTCTCTCGGTGCCTTGGTAGGTCCCCCGATGCGCCCCCGCCTTTACCAGGACTAGTGCTGACCGCGGCATGGAAGAATGAACTACTAGATAGGGCGATGGCAATGGTCCAAGGACTATAGTCGAGAGCAGCCGAGAGTTATTTATTACTGCTGTGTGGTTTGGAAAATAGATTTTGTAAGTAGACATTTCGTAGATTCGCCACTTGCGGAGTGCAGTATGCGTAGCGACACCATCATGACCTTGTTAGCTTTATCCACTGATCAGGTATCCAGAGAAACAACCGTTGAAATAGAGACGGACGTCGAATATTACAAGTAATGAAGAGATACGAGGACACGGCAAGAACCTTTTACGAGTCCGCGGGTTATATGGCAAAGAAAATCGATAACGCTCATGGCAACGGCGTCATTCAAAAAGAAAAGAAAATCCTTATCATACTAAAGGTAGAATTCCCAGAAAGTATCATGGGAAGACACCGATCACAATCCGTTCCGTATCGCGGAGGCCGATCAACGCCTGCGCCACAAGTATGGATTGTGTCCGAGTATTAACAGCAACGCGGGACAGATGTGACGACGTGGTTCGGGAAAGCTATCGGGAAATTGTATTACACGGCGTCCTGGATAGTTGAATACTCGCTCTCGATACCCGGCTCAATCAAGCACGCATGTCCAAGAATAAGACAGGATGATGCACCGACGAGCCAGAAGAAAGTCATGAAAGGAGATGAGAGCCACAACAAGGGGATGCCAATCACGAAGAGAGCTGTGTACAGGGACTTTTGGGTGATGACGTGGTCACCCACTTGAACCGGGTCAGGGGCTAGTAGGGTAAAGATATTCCAGTCAATTCATACTGTTTCACGTGGGACTAAGAAAACCTTACCAAACTTGTTGATCGCTGCGAAGCCGCCAGTAAGGAAGGCGAGCGAAAAGAGGAGGAGGGGGCTGGTAAGGCTGAAAAGGATATCGTCGGTATCTATCCGATCATACCAGAAGGATAGGAAAGGCAGTACTAACAGAGCATAGACTCCCAGGAGGGCTATGATGAACATATAGTTCGCGGAGAAGTACCGGGTGTTGTATGATATTCTCTACAAAAAAAAATCCCGTCAATGATTCACCCGAACGATCGAGCCGCACGCGGGCCCTCGCCAACGCAAAAGACTCACAGAAACAGCCTGGTTTACATCCTCAGGTCTCGAGATCCGGTGAAAATCGAAAAATTCCGTTGGAGGGCGAAGGGCGTTGAGGCGGGTTTCCTGTGAGGCGGAGACCGTTCGAAAATGAAAAGGGAGATTTTCGTTAGTCAGTCATGCCTGTTCAAATATACGCGCTGACGCAGCGGGATGGTCCCCGTCTTGCTTACTTTGAGCCTTTTAACAACATCGGTGACGCGCATAAGAGCTTCCATGGCTGGTGGGTTGACTGAAGTTGGTAGCTAATGATAAGGATGGAAGGGTTCGAAGGGTGGTCGTTAGCGTTTAGAGAATCTCCGGGAACTGCGCGAGTGGTTATTTAAGAACGACGGATTCAAGTGCTGCGCGACACTGGTCGAGTGAGTGACAAGCTTTGGTCGATCCAAATCCGTCCAAGCAGCTGCCCGACACCGCCCCCCTCAGGCTGTGGCAGCCACTGGAACACCGTCCTGCTGACAGTACCCCCTCACCAACAATGCTTCGCCGTCCGCCAACGATGATTCCAATGAGCGATTCTGACGTTCAGGAAATCCGCGAGCTCGTCGCGGAGCAAAAGACTCTGTACGAACAAAAACAAAAGACCCTCCTGCAGATGAAGAAGGTCGCCGAACGTCCGTTCACCATTGACGATCCTCAGGCAGTCGCTTTCCTGAGAATGATGTCTGAGCGGGAGAAAACAAGGGAACGAGAAAAGGATGAGAGGAATAAGAGGCTAGGAATTCCACCGGGTCAGAGTCAGGCTGGAGGACAGGACTCCTCGTCTTGTGTGTATCTTTACTTCTTCCCCTCCCCCCTGTTTCCAAGAGACTAATAAATATTTTCTAGCATGATGTAGGTGTGCGAGATGGAATGTGTGAATTAAGCAAAAACTAGAGATGAAGCCCATGAAGCTGCTCAAAAACACTGTACTACAGTTGGCACCAACTCTAATCCACGAAATTTTCAACCACCTCTGGGCATTCATAGATCTCCTTGAAAGGCACTCCTGAATCCTGCATGTGAGACACCATGTGTGGGTATTTCTCGTCAGACGCACAACCCACAGTGCAGGAGATGCTCACCATCCAAATCCCGATGGTCACACATCGATGCGAGGTCTACCCTCTGCAAATGCAAACAAGTGGTTTTCAGACTGTCCCACAACGCTGAGGATGTTACACCACGTCTACTCGCGGCACCTCCCGTCTCCACGGTATCACCTCCCTCGCGGTCTTGCAGGACCAGAGCGTCGAGGATGTGTGTGGCTGCTTCTTCGTGGCGCTGCGCAGACCGTGGATTAGTCCGGTAGGTTTACGGGTCGGAAACCGCGTTGGTACGTACACGGAGGTTGATAGAAGATATGCCTAGGTTGTATCTGAAAATCCAACGTTAACCTTTCCGCTCAGTAAGGTGTGGGAGGACACACCGCGCACGGATATACCCCGGGTTTAACTCAAGAGCGCGGTAGTAATACTGAAGTGCCTCATCGGCGCGTCCGCTGTTCGCCATCGTCGCACCTACCCTGTTGTACAACAGCCAGTCCTACGACAGTTAGCAAACAGAGAGCCCATACTAGCACGTAGCACACATACATCAGGGCGAACAGCCAGTGCTGTGAGGAAGCAGTCCAGCGCTCGCGAATAGTCCTGTTAGCGTGGCAATTAGTATCTGGCGGCGCATAGAAGGAAAGATCGATGCCACCTCCATTGTATTCAACAACACAGCCAACGCGATCTGCACGTCCGCATCCACTTCTTGCGTTCCACCGCCAGATATTCTTGCCATGTCAATCAGCAAGTCCACCAGCCTATAGAAATTGACCGATCCGTTCCCCGACAACTCGTCTCTCCATGCTTTAACAGCCTCACTATATCTGGGATCAGGATTCCTTGACACCCACTCCAGCACGGCGTTGTACGTTCCCATTCGGTTGTTCTCATTTGTATATGAAACGGCGAGCGCCAGCCACGCTGGGAGGTACGATGGGTCTAGCTCTAGAGAGCGACGCAGAGCCTGCACGGCTTTGGCCTCTCGCTCATTAGACTGCTGCCGTACTCCAAGTTCGTACCATGCGCGCCCATTGTATGGGTCCCGTTGGACAGCCGCCTCGACCTCGAGCACATTCTGTTAAGCACGATGTTCGAAAATTGATGACCGTCAGTGATTCTGCTTTCACTTCGTAATACTAAGGCGGAACGCACCTCGTACATCCTTTCTACCCCACCAACGTGCATGGCATGGTGTCTTGTCCTTCCCGCTTCCAGCTTCTCTCCCATATAAGGGTTCTCTTTCTGGAATTTATACTCCACCACCGGCTGTATCCCCGTCGTCGTTGCTTCAAATTGCTCCCAGGCATCTTGCAGTTCAAACCACTGTCTAGCCTCTCCTTGCTTCTGCAACACTGCCGGCGAGGTTAACGTAGCAGCAGTGGATGACTCAGCTGTAGAATTCGAGGGCCCCGCATAGTGAGCTTCCCACCACGCGCGGAAATCCTCGTTCTCCTGCTGAAAATATGCTTCGTGTGCATCGCCCTGTTGCGCAGGAATGGAAGTGTGCGATTCTGTCTTCGGCTCGGTGCCAAGCACATCTACCGCTCGCGCTTTTCCTTTTCCTTTCATGCTACCGGTGGCTGTGGCAGCCGCCGACGTGGAAGTGGAAGCCAAATCGCTTGGCACGAATCCTTCCTGATCAACAACGACCTCCCCATCCCGCAGCTGCCGCATCAAGCTCATGAACGAGCTCTTTGTGAATTTGGGGTTTTCCTCGTGCTTCACTGAATCGATAACTTGTGCGGCGAGTCGGGCCATCTCGTCTGTTGGGCGTGACTCCGCTGACGTCGACGGCTGCTGTGTTTGTTGATCGAAACCTTCCTTTTGCTTTACATCGGAGACGGTGGATGAGGTTGATGTAAGACTAAGAAGAGATTCCTGAGATTGGAATTCCTTGTCCCATAGCATCCCTAAGATGCATCACATGTGCAGTTCTCGATACATATCAGGGAGCAACTCACGATCGGTTAACCCCTGTGCTTGAGTCTGTCCATGTATTGGTAGCGTCATGCCTCCTATGTTCATCGGACCCATCCGATATCCTGTATACATTTCCCATGCTATTCGCACCGTCATATTTGGAGTAAGTAGGACTGGAGCATGAGTGCGTACCTTGTGGACCTGCTGAAACAAAGGGTAGTGCGGGCTCCTGGATATCCCTGTTTAGTGTGGTAGACGAGGCCACTGTCCCCTGCGTCTGCCCGTGTCCTCCCACACTTTGCGGTTGCCGATGGTGAGTCTGCAAGAAATCACCCGCCCACCCGGCATCCGCGAACGCTCCACGCGGAGGTTGTGCGGTAGTAGTATTAGGACCAGACGGGGAAGCCAGCTGGGGCAGCGATTCCTGTAAATGCAACATGTCGAACGGTTGTTGTTGAAATCGTTGCTGCTGTTGGAACTGGGCAGTATGCATCACCGGCCTCTGTATGTCGGATGTAGGTGGGGAGAAGAACTGCGCTACATCTCTTTGGAGTTCAGAAGACGTGGATGACTGGGGGGTGCGGAATGTCTTTTCGAGATCAACATACGCAATTCACACTGCAATGATGGAATGAACATACCTCCTTGGCTGGTCCTGCTCTCGCTAACAAGTCCTAGATAAAATGATACGTCCGTTAGTTTGATTTTGAACACGACAAAGCTTCAGGAATAGCGATCTGAACCTGTTGTGGTCCGCGATCTTGATCGAACCTGTTAGTGAGTCCTTGCAGGGGGTTCGTTGGGCCACACTCGGAACCTCCAACGAGCATCGACAGCGACATTGTTCACCACGTTCCGTTGTGAGTAGATCGATGATGTTGAGGTGGTTAGGCTGACATGTAATGTCGGTGTCATGTGTTTTTCGTATGTAGTAGTAGTGGGTATAGTGACACACAATATACGTATGCATACCACGTAGCAGTGACTACACACAGAATTGAATCTGCCTCATAGTTTAAGCCACATTTGAAACTCGAACTTGACGCCGTTTTCCTCCTGAACACCCTCCGGGATGTCAAAATCCACTAAACTCGCCCACGCGACGAGCTCGTCATGGGAGGCCCTCTTCCATGAGGATCCACCACTACCACTGCGCTCGGCAACATCCAAGAAATCAGGCAAAAATACATCGCATTCTGGAAAATCTGGTTCGTGGATGCGAGTCAGGAGGACGCGGTCTGCTTGCAGAGATGATGGCAGGGAAGCAGTGGTGGTGCCAAAGCCGAGGGTCTCCCGATACAGCGTCGAGCCACCGATGATAAACAGGCGATGTAGGTCCGGACGCGATCTGAGTCGATCTATGGCTGTTTGTAGGTCAGGAAACAGGCTAGCGTGGGGTGGCGGCCTGTGATGGCGTTAGACCACGAGCGCAGAAAAGGGTGGTACGACCAGCGTACACTGGGTATTCGCTGTTGCGACTAAGAACGGCGTTCAACCGATTTCTGAGAGGTCGAAACTTGGAGGGGATACTCTCCCAAGTGGCTCTGCCCATGACCACAGCATTGATCTTCCCGGGTGGTGCACGGGCGGTGACGCGGCTAAAAAACGCCAGATCCTTTGGGATATGCCAGGGCATCTTGCCATTGTGGCCGATACCGTTGCTCCTCGTTGCTGCGACGATGATCGTCAGGCCCGACATGGTTGTCGTGTGTACTATGATCCCGGGTTGTAACAGCAATGCATAGGGTAATATGACCCATCTTCGTAGACATTATAAAAGAACATACAGAAAAGAAAAACAGTATGCTACTGCGTGAAGAAAACAAGACAACCCTCGTAACAAGCCTACTCCTGTGTACAGTGCGTCCTTGTCCATCCATCCATTGATGATACATCTCTCGATGCGCATCCCGTGTGCATGCGTTATTCATTAGTCCCAACCGAAATTCGACGGGGTGGTGGTGCACGACTCTAAACGCCATCAACTCGTGGAAGACACTTCCGACTTCACTGCTGTCGTACTACTGGCCCCGGCATGTGCGGCATCCATGCTATGCGATGGTGGTGCCTGTGGGGGAGGTGGTGGTGGCACTTGTGCAAGTGCTGGCTGTTGCTGAGGCTTGTGAGATTCAACCGAGGACGGAGGGGGTGGTGCTAATTGTTGCACCTGGCCTGCCTGTGCCTGTGCTTGAGCAGCCTGAGCAACCTGCACGACCTGCTGTGCAACCTGTACAGCCTGCGCATGCACCTGCTGTTGCGCATGTGCCTGCTGCATGGCTTCGACGGCTTGTCGACAGTCAGCGCCGCCCTCTGATCGGACTATGAGAATGACGATTATCAATACCCATCAGGCCGGGTCATCGTAGAACGGGACTTACGGTGCCGCTGTGGAGACGAAACGACATCAGTACCCCCGATCCATCTACCCCGTGCAGGGAACCACAAGGCAAAAGGGGGACTTACGTTGAGAGCATCTAGGCGACTAAACGTTTTCCTGCACCCCTGGCATACGTTCGCTTGGGTCCTGTTTGCGTGAAGTGCTTGGTGGCGCCTGTACGTACGCCATCGTGTGAGTAGGTGAATGGGCAAGTGGGTACGAGAGGCAGGGAATGACACGCAAGACAGTGACGTTGGAAGCATGCGAACGAGGCAAAAGACAAACAAGTCTGCCACAAGCGGAGACAGAGAATGGGGAGGGAAGAGGAGCATGTGTCGCCATCACCCACACGGGGATTGGCAGAATGAATGAATGAAAAGAACGCGGAAGGAAGGTCATATGAATGAAAGTCGAACGAGACCAGTGAACCGGAAGTGGCAGTGGGCCATAGCACAGCACTCGGTGATATAATTAGGGGTGAAGGGTAACAACTCACTTGCAATCGTGCTGTCTTGCGAATCCTTTCTTGCAATCTGGATATTCACAGACGTATGGTCGTTCTTCCGTGTGAGATCGAAGGTGACCTGGATCATGGAAGATGGGTAAGCGGCTGATGATATGAAGACGGAGACATGGGAGAAGACGGCGAAGTGGGAGTAGTGGGGAACGGAAGAGCGACGGAGAGAGAGGGGGGGAGAGGGAGAGAAACACGGACCTCTGAGGTTGAATCGACGGGTGAAGGTGCTTCCACAGCCTGGGACAGGACATATGAAGTGGGCCTCGTTTCTTCTCCTGGAGGCGCTGGCTGCTTGTGTTGCCGATGTGGTGACCTGCTTCTTTTCTACCTGGAGGATGGGAGGGAGACGAGGGACGCCATTAGCAAAGTGGCCCTGTGGGTCGGAGAGGGCAGCGGAGGACGCGATTGCTTGTGAGTAGAGTTCTGCGGCGCTGGGGGCATAGTAGGGTGCTTCCTGTTTTAGGTCGAGCGGGGGTGGTTGGGCTGGCTGGCCGGCGGTGGCAGATGAAAGGGGCCGGAGCTGGGGCTGAGTGGCGGTTGCCGGGACCGGGTACGGGGACGGGTGGGAGGTATGGCGGAAGGGGGAATTGCTGTGGCTTCTTCTGTAGGCGTGACCGGGTGGATAGTGAGCGTGCTGCTCGGTTGGATCGTTTGGGCCCGAGCCTGGGGGGAAGGAGGACTGCTGGGCCATGTCGGGTGGATGGAAGGGGGGGTCGTTCTGGTTGGCAGGCTGTTGCCAGTCGAGGAGATTGCCTTGGAGGACCATGGAGGAACTTGATGGCGCCCTTTTTATCGATTAAGCGAGGGAAAAAAAACAAGCAAATGGCTTCGTTTCGATCTGTGAAATGGCCACCGCCGTGTCCTGCACTCACAAGCACTCACACACGCTGTGCCCACACACGATCCCAGCGAGCAGCACACGCACACACGCACACACTACACTTTATACCCTCCAGGTTGTCTCATCCCTCAGATCCCCTCAGCGCCGCAGCACCGCCTCCATTTGTCATCCATTCCATCTAAATTGCTGTGTCACATGCACAGCCATCGGCTCCTGTGTTGCCGTTCCGTGTCCGTCATCCGCTCCGGGTTTCCATTCCATTCCATTCCCCAAGTATACACACTAATGATATGTATGTACTACGGTCCCAGCAGCCGCCTCCGTCTCATCAGCTCCACCTCTGTAATCCGCTCCCCTCCATTCACACCCACCTCCTTCGCCCGCTCTCCCGGTTCACTCATCGGCGTCCGGGGGCGGCGGTCAAACGAGCCCCTCCTCCCACCACCACCGCTGCTGCCGCTTCCACCGCTGCCCAGCCGTTTGCGCGCCACAAACGTGATGCCCGAGTCATCTGTCTCCCCCTCCGACGTGAACGGGTTGGGGTTCAAGCGCGCACTTCCATTCTTGCCGTGCCCCGAGTCGGAACAGCTCATACCCGTGCTGCTCGCAGCCCGTGGCGTGTCCACATCAGCCGCAGTCGCACGTTTCGTGGGCGAGCGCGAGCTGCTCGGGATCTCCGATACACCCAAACCACTCTTCTCCTGCTGCCCCACCATATCACCAGTTCGAACGCCCACAGAAGACGTGGCAGATGCACCCCTATCTTTCCTGGCAAACCTAACGAACGCATCCTCTATCCAGTCCGCCAGGTCCTCCACGACAGCTCTCGCCTCCTTCATCAACGTCATCATCTGCAGGTATCCGTGACTCCAGTCCTTGAATAACACCATCTGCACCCAGTCGTCCTCCGTCTCGCGTGCTAGTCGATCCCGCTCTGCCTGCAGACTCTTTACCTCGTCACCCCCGCGCGCGTGACTCATTTGCGAGCCCGCGCCAACACCACCGCCACCGCTAAGCATCCAGTCCAGCTCCCTCTTCCTCGCCCTCTTCGCTTCCCTCACTCGCCCAGCAAATATGACAGTGTCATCCACGAATGGATCCTTCTCCCCACACTGCATAAGCAGTGGTGGAAACTGTGCGAGGAGCGCCACAGGCGTCAGGATCGGCGAAAGAAAGTAATCTGTAGCAAAATCAGGGTTTCGGTGCGGTCCGATGTAAAGGATCGCCATCGCCCGCATCTATCAAAAGCATTGTGCATCACACAAGGTTACGATACCAAGTCCGAGATCGGAACGGAAATCCGGCATCGCAAGATGATCAGGAAACGATATAACGAGTGAAACGGGGACAATAAACCCACCATACTCGGAGAAATGATCCTGTCCTGGAAATACCCAACCCGACTTGTCATCGTCAACCGGGTTCCAATTGGCTCGAGCTCCTTTCCTTTCCCTTTGCCCTGGTCATTCCCCTCAGTAACGAGTGTGATAGCGTTGATATTCGCCTTCTGGACCGCTTCGGAGAGCTCCTCCTGCTGGTTCTCCAAGCAGATGTGCAGATGCTGTTGCGGACACGTCTTCTTCATCGTATCCATTTCTTGCTGAGAACACTCTTTGTACACATACCGCACACGCTCCTCAAGAGGTCGATCTTCCTCTTTCACAGGAATCACTCTCGTCGCTCTCTTCGTCAGCCCAGAATTCACTTTCATCAGCAGTTCGCACCTCGAACGACCTGACGCTCGACTTGCGTTTCATTGCTACCGCTGTAGCATGCCCATCCTTTTCGGCCGATTCCGAGGCACTCCACAAGGGTTCTGACATCCCCTCCGTCGAACTTGCATTCCCTGCAAGGTCCATTAATGCATCTCTCCAGCTCTTTCCACGCTTCAGACCCCGCCGTTTCGCCAGAGATCCACTATCACGCTTTCCCCCAACCATACTGAGCGGGCTCACATGTCGCAGGTGATTCTTCTGCGATGCAAGTTCACGCAAACCAGGTAGGTTACCCGTAGACTGTTCCGAACGCAGCACCCGCAGGTTGTCAGGTGACATCCACGATGTGAAATTAAAGTCAAGCGCTGCATAGCTGAGAACGAGCGCCGCTGGCAGTTCGAGTCTGGCTGACGAAGGAGAGGTGGCCGGCAGTGATTGATTAAACTGGAGAATCTTGACCATGACGCCCACGACGAGTGCAGCTCCCCTGCAAACCCACGTGCATCAGTGGCGCAGATGTTATGTGTGCATGTAGTACACTCACGCCGAATCACCCGATAAGATAACGTTAAATTCGTTGCCCGACATGCCGATGCACCGCCCGCGTGTCTCTGCTAGAAGCCTATATAGATCAAAGCACTCGTCCATTGCGAAAGGGTACGGATCTGAAAGTGCGCGAAAAAGGAATGTCGTTTGAGTTTCATAACCCCATCAGAAAAAGCGGAAAGCAATCACATTCTGGCGCCTTTCCGTAGTCCACCGCTAAGACAACTTTTCCGGTCCTGAGTGCCCACGTCCGCAGCCGTTCTTCGTGATGCTCCGGTGTCATCGCCACGAAACCTCCACCGGGAAAGTCCAGTACGAGATCCGTACACTTATGTAGCTGAAGCACCGGTGCCGAAAAGTATACATGCACCGTGATTGGACGATCGTACTGTGATGATGGCGGCCTGGGTAGGAGTATCCTTCTACAAAATGCTACGTTTGGAGCACTCGAAAGGATACGGAGCTTCGAAGAATTTCATTAGCTCGCAATTTCTCCGGTCAGTCATGTCACAAACAGCCTACATACATATGGGTTAGCCGTTTTCTCCCACGTCGTGCGGAACATCTCCACGGTTGGCACAGCCCTAAATCTGCGAAGCTTATTTTTTTGGGGGAACATTGAACCCTCGAAGATGGCGGTGGATTCTACTCACCTTCTCGTCCCCCTCATTAGCGTAGATGATATAGTATGATGAAAACAGAATGGAACATATGTCTCTTAGCCATTTCGGTCTCACGGACATGGCCGTTGCGAACCCAGCGTCTAGGCCAGTAGCAATCCACGTCGCACGATAGTACGAAGGCGAGTACTACATAGTCATCTATTAGTTCCCGAGAAACAGAGGGGGGATGGGGCCAGGAGATACAGTTTCAAAATGGTAGGGCACTTACGAGATGAGCAAGTGGCTCTGGAGCTAGTAGACACATGGTATCAGCACCACATCCACACCCCAGAAATCCAAAAAGAGAGTCCAGACTCACATCCGAGCCCAACGATCTTGTCCAAGTTTCTTACGGCGTACACAGCAGTCAGTGTACTAACGATGATTTTCCATGGGGAAAAACGTTCTGTTTGGAATCAAATAATAATAATAATGCTTGTGGTCAGATCGAAACTAGTTAACCGTCACAGGTGTTAGACAAATAGAGAACGCACGGAGCCGCTTGTTCAGTTTCCGGATCCAGAGTACACGTGGACCCCCAGGATTTCCAGCGACAAGCCTCCATATCCAGAAGAGTATCACTAGGAACACCTGTGTACAAGTACCAACACATCACACCGAGTGAGTTGAGTAGGGCAGGCAGGTTCATGGCGACGTACATGTGTACGTTTCCAGGACGTGCTCGGACGGCCCAGCAAATGATCTATCATGAAGATTACACACTGTAAGTCCTAGCTTGAAGGCAAGTAAGTCGTGCTGTGGGCAGTGTGTCCAATTGGACCATCGAGTTATAGCACCAGGGGTGTGCATGCATGTGATTTTGCGAATTACAGAACCTGCCATTTTGGGCCCAACGCGGTGTTGTAACGAACGTGTGACAGATTCTCTACTTGTCACATGTCACACTTTGATAACCACGTGGTTATCTAAGCAACTCGATCGTGATGAGCTGGCGACTCTCCAGTCCTAACCCTACGACTGTGACAACAAGGTGGCGGCCAATATGCTAACCTCTATCAGAACTGAGGGCGAAAAGATTGAGATCGTGAACCAGTTATTGCTTCCTCATACGACAGAGTATTTGGAGATCAATACCATCGAGGAAGCGCACGAGGCCATCAAGTCTATGAAAGTCAGGCCTACTTGTACCCAACAACAATCCCTTTGCAAACGTTCTGATGGACACATATATTATTGCAGATCCGAGGCGCCCCTGCCATCGCGTCGCTCGCAGCACTCGCCTTCGCTGCTAGTCTGTCAAAGGCCCTCGCTTCACTCGACCGCCCCTCGTTCCTTTCTTCCCCGGAAGCTCTTGAGAAACACGTCACACCCATTCTAGATTATCTCTATACAGCACGGCCCACCGCAGTCAACCTTGGAGCGGCAACACGGCGCATTTCACGCACATTGCAATCATCGAAAGATGCAGGCAAAGATGCCGTTACTATCGCGCGGGACCTCGTCGCGGTGGCCCGGCTCGTCTCCGACGAAGATTATGCTCGCAATAAGAAGATGTCTGAGAACGGCAGTTTGTGGCTTTCTGCATTTCACAATTTGCAAGCTGGTGAACATCTCAATGTCCTCACGGTTTGCAATACGGGCTCTCTTGCAACATCGGTACGTGGATAATCACCTTGTGGTTTCCATTCTGTGCTTCGTGATTTCCCACAACCCCTCTCTACACGCACAGAATTTTGATGACCCTTTGGCTTTCTATGTAGGGTTATGGAACCGCGCTTGGTGTCATCACGTACCTTCACGAGACCCAAAGGCTTGGGCGTGCTTACTTCACTCAGACTGCACCCTACCACCAAGGATCTCGGTGAATAACATGACCCCTCATCTTCCCGATATTTTGCTAATTCGGCCCTTTGCGACATTATTTAACCTGTCCTCGTGTTTCGTGTTCCCGGTGTGATAGGTTGACTGCATTGGAACTTCAGACGCTTCAGATCCCCTCAACGATGATCTGCGACACCATGGTCGGATCTCTTTTCCAACACCGTACAATCCATGCCGTTGGTGCGTTGCCTTTCCATTTTGGTCATTCCAGCCCGAGACTTTGTCTGATTTTTTCCCAGCTGTTGGAGCCGACAGAATTGCGCAGAATGGAGACACCGCCAACAAGGTATTGTGCACGTTTCATGTTTGTGCATCATGTTCCGAATGTTCCGATTACACCGCTTTCTCTCTGTTATGGCATGATTCTCAATTTGGTTTTTTTCTTTTCTTTTCTTTGAAGTTTACCCGGATTGTGCACAACACTGATTCATATTGGATTTATGCACAAACCAGATTGGGACGTACAACACCGCTGTACTAGCAGCACGACACAACATCCCGTTCATCGTCGTTGCTCCGATCAGTACCGTTGACCTCGACATTAAAGACGGGTCCCAGTGAGTTCCTCTACAATCCTCCCTCGTGTCCATTGATCTCATAATGTCATCTACACAATACAGAATTCCAATCGAACACCGTCCCTCCACTGAAGCATGCATTGTCCGGGGTGCCCTTTACCCGCCCAGATTCGATTCTGATTGGCGGCGTGAGCTCGCACAGGTTATGTTTACCCCTCCAGGCCTAGACTCCGACGAAGAGAACGTGTATAACCCCAGTTTCGATGTCACACCTGCAGAACTCATCACTGCTATCGTTACTGAAAAAGGTGTCGCCGTGCGAAGGGAGGGAGAAAACGTTTTCGATTTGTGTGGGGTCGTTTAGATGCCAAGTAGCCTGGATTCGGATAGTAGGCAAGTTAGCGCAGGATGTCTGTCGCATCACTATACCTTCCTGGTGGTAAATTACTTGATGTCCAATGGGTCTCGAGCGCGATAACGAATCCTATCTGCAGGTGTAAAGTTGAAAGTAGCTCAGATACAATAACACAAAGATATGTGGTCTGCTGCAAAGTTCTAGTGTCAGTGTGGTTTCAAAAGTCTAAATTAGACTTATTTACTGCTTATCTAAACTTTTCATGCCTGTAACAGCTCATGGCAGCCTGTCAGAAAATTAGTACTTTACTATTTTGACTTTTATGTGACTATTGTGACTTTGTTGGAAGGAATCTAGTATCTATGCTTTTTTTTTGATCATATACAGCATTGAAGAATGAAAATAGGATAGAATCTATTAAGACAACTCAGGAATACTAAGTGGATGATATATCTAAGCCAAGAAGACTAGAAAATGTTTCAAAATTCAGAGATATTGAGCCATTGGTGTGATACACACTGTCTGAGAGAAAAATCACAATATCTCTGAAACCTCCATCAATTTGAATGTATGTGGTGGTATCTACTGAAAGGAGCCTGTGCACCTGGTTAGGCCATATGAGATGGTTGGAGAAGGCTGACAATTGGCCATTGCTGACAGGCCAGTGGAGGCCTGGCCTATGTATGGCTTGTGCTCCTGTGTTACATGAGAGCCATGAACTTATTGTCACCTTGTAGTATGGGAGAGCCCAACTGATGAGTGTCACCATGAAGTACAGCTGAGCCTGAGAGTAAATGTTGTGGTGGGGAATGGTGTGGCTGTGGTTTGGATTGTCATTGTCAGTTACGAAGCAGGCTGGGGAGTGAATGTCATCATGGACTATGGGAGAGCCCAATAAATGAATGTCACCATAGCATACAGCTGAGCCCAAGAGTAGGAGTTACCATGGAGAATGGTTGAGCTGAGGTTAGAATTGTCATTGTGGGGTACAAGCCAGCTGTGGAATTACTGTCACTGTTGTTGGAGATGGTGCATTCTGTGCATTACTCTTCATGGAGATTTGTTCCCACAGTAGTGGTCTAACCCCCCAAGCTACTGACACTTGGTACCCCAGACTACTAGTGTAGCTTAACAATCTAATTTAGCCCCTGTGGCCTACCATTCCTTATCAGTGAGTGAATGCCCTGATGGCAGGGCCATTGGCTCCCCATCAGTCTGCCATTTCTGCTGGCCATTTTAGACACTCTGCCTTTGTGATGAAGGTGGTTTAGTATTTCTGCTGACTGTTTTAACTCTATCTACATTAGCCCAGCAGTTGATAGACTGGCCAGTTTCTGGGGCATAATGAGTTCTTCTTTGTCCAGAGGTGTGGGTCTGTCTTGGTTGTTTAAATAGCATGTGAGGGTGTGGTTGCTATGGGACATGGGAACTGGTTGTGCAAGTATGCTGGGGGGTGTGTGGTTTATAAGTACAGTATGATCTGATCTTGGTGTGAGTGAGTTGGGTGAGTGGGGGGAGTTTGGACATGATTGTTGGTTTAAGCTCAGTGGTGGGGGATGTGTAGGTAGCTCTGCTAGCTTGGTTGATGGACACCTGTGGTCCTGAGGTGTCTACTGGTATGTTTGCTGTCTTTGTTTGTTTTCTTATCTGTGCATAGTGTTATTCTTTGTTATGTTTGTTTGTGGATCTCACCAAATGTGTTTTGCAACCATTTGGTGGTTGATATGTATTTGAGGAGGTGTGATTGTACTTTTGGGTTAGTGAGAAGGTATGCCATGGAAGTGGCATCCCTCCCTAGCATCCCTTGCAGTATGTGTTGCTCTCTGATGTATCTAGCACATTGGAATAGATAGTGATGTATGTCTTCTTGGCTAGTTTTGCTGCACTGCAGACACATAGGAGTGTCACTGTGTCCTATGCAGTGAAGATGTTTGTTCAGGGGGATATGTCCCATGCATAGTTGGATGTATAGGCTAGTTTGCTTCTTGGGGAGGGAGGTGGTGAGTTTTGTGAATGAGGCATTTAGTAGTTGGGGATCTATGGCAGATATTCTGTTGTACCAGGGGGAATTCTTCCAGGTTCTGGCCCATAGGGTCTTGAGTTTTGCATTGTGGGTCTGTTTAAGGGCAGATATACTGAGGGGTAGCTGTTTTCTTAGTAATGGGGGTAGGTCCTCTGGTGGGCTAGCTGATTCTGCCCCTGTTGCCACTATCTTTGCCTCCCTGTCTGCCAGTTTATTGCCTTCAACTTCCATATGTCCTGCTATCCATCATATTGTAATGTTTTTTCTTGATAGTGATTCTTTGCTTAGGGCTTTGATGGTTGTGGACCTGGAATGTGTCAGTAGATAATGGCCTGGTCTTGATGATGGCTGCTCACTTGATCTTATTACTGCTTGGTTGTTGACTAATATGGTTGTCAGATACATGACCTCCATCCTGCTGTCAAGGAGGTGAGCCACCAGCAATAGAGCCACTGCCTTGGCTTCAAAGACCATATGTTGCAATGCATTTCCAAGGTGGTATCTCAGTGTAGTGATGTGTTGATAGTCCATGTAGAGGACTGCAGCCACTGTCACACACCTTGTTGATGAGTTGTGCACAATGCCCATGCCATGCAGATGAAGACTAAAGGCCTCATGTGTAGAAAGACTGCTGGACATGAGCAGTCATCCTTTGCACAAGAACAAGTTGTCAGTGCTAAGAGAAAAGAGGAAGCAAGTTAAGTGCACATTAAAAGTTTTTAGTGCCCATGTATGGCATTCCAGTTTTTGTTGTATCTCCACCATTTCCAAAGATATCAACTCTGTTCTCACACTCACTGAAAGTGCTCAGCCATGTGATTCTGCCTTCCAAATTTGGAGAGGATCCTCACACCCTACACATTTCTACAGCTGTCATAACCATGCCTTGACCCCAGCCAGACTTGGCCTCACATTCATCCAGTCCAGCCTCAGCCTCACCAATCCCATATCCCCAGATGTTCTAGTGCAGTAAACACTGCTTTGCAGTGCACATCACTTTGGCTGAGTTCTGCCCAGTCATGTCCCCAGTCCACCCTGTCCCAGTCTCCATTACCTTAGTCATACATTACTAATACTAGTCTTACCAATCACCTTAGCAATCTTTGCAAGACTGGCATTACTGGTCTCCATACTATAGTTACTTCCAGTAGATAAACCTGTAGATACCTGACCTGTACCCCCTCAGTCTGAAATCAAATAAGTTCTATCTGTAATTCTCAGCCTTGGACTCAGACTGTGACCCATGCAAGGGAATAGTGCTGCATCATCAGTCACTAAGTCCAATCAGTCCACCCCTTTGTATCTTTGTCTTTCCTCCTGATCCTGATCCCTCAGCCTTGTGCCCACTTCAGTCTCCAGTCTGGCCTCAACCTGGACAATGTTATGCCCAAGCCAAGTGACTTTGTCAAATGGACTAGTCACAAGTGGTGCAAGGGGGAGTCTACAGGCCAAACTTGTTGTTACCCCTATGGCTCAGTTATTGTGAAGGTCTGACAGAGGTTTGCTTCCACTGGTGAGTTCTTCTGAGATCATGGTGGGGAAGGAAACAAGGACAAAAGTGAAGATATAAGCTGAGTTGCAAGCTATTGAAAAACTGAGGATATGAGGTATGGTACAGCTGTATAAATACCTCAGGGCAAGAGTACCATACTGGTCATGCTGTCAAGGTGGTAAGTATCCACAGTTGTAAACAACGAAACAGAAAGGAGTCATACAGTGTCAAAGATGGGGGTAGACAAGGAAATGATGGCTATACCAGCTGCACCATCAATGTGCAGGAAGGAGCCTGACACTGGAGCAAGAAGTAAACAATCAAACAATACACATGAGTCAAAGACAAGGCATGAAATTAACTGTTCATCAGAGATGGGGGGGCTTGGTAACAGACTGCCCTGGGTGCACAGCATCAGTGGCTATTGGAAATACCACAACTGCTGGGGATCTGAAGGTTCCCTTGAGCATGGACACCCCCAGAATGATGATGGTGATTAGGGATGTGGTGAGGCATGTGACACACACAACTGTGAGAAGTCAAAAAAGGAAAGACCCCTGATGCAGGCATAACATCACCCCCCCTCTAAGGTCCTCAGACCCTTGAGGATGATGCAAGGGCATTAGCTGGGTGGGCAGATAGGGGTTGGTGAGTAGTATATGTGCAGGAGCAAGTTCAGGCAGTGACAAGTGATGGAGGTGATGGAGTTGGTGGTTCCTTGAGGGACAGTGTATATTTGGAACTGCATCTGTTGTGGCATGACCAATGTCCCAAGTAATGACACTGGAAACAGGCATGAGGGTGAAGAGGGTGTCTGTCCAGAACAGGAGACTGTCCTCCAAGGTAGAATTGAAGTTGATCCACAGGGACAGGGACAAAGGGAGTTGCAGGGAGAGGGTTGGTGGCATGGACAGTGTTAAAGTAGTATTTGTGCATTCCTGCCCACAATGCATCTTGTAACAGGACCTCCCAGGCTGAACTGTGAGTTCCAGTCCCAACATGATCACCAACCTCTTTATACAGCAACCCACTATCAACAAACTTGAGCTTGAGATTGTGCCATTCCTTTTCCTTCTCCTGTTCTGCAACTTCAGGCTTCCTTTGTTCTGTCATAACTGATGGTTCCTCTTGTTTAGGACATATGTGATCAAGAAGTTGAGAAGCAGGGGGTGTGAGGAAGTCTCCAACCTGTCAATCAAGAAGGTGATGATAGGCACCACTGGTAACAGCTTCTAAAACATCCAAGTAGCCATGTTCCAGCATACTGATCATAATCGCCTTGGACAATGGGGTGGTTCCACTAAGCTTTCAGGTGCATATCTTGCTGATGCATCAACTGATTATGTCTGATGCTCTGTAGACTTCAGACAGCAGCCCAAAATACTTAACCTGTTCTGGTGAGCACCCATCAATGCTGTCCCCTTTGGGGAAGATGTCAGGTGCCCTAACAATGTCCAGGTAGTCACTTGCTGTGACTGGTAGTTGCAGCTCATCATCCCTGGCAGTGGTGACAGTTGCAAGGAGATTGAGGGCTGTATGATGTGCACCATTGGAATAGGCTGTGAAGGTGGTGTGAATGTTGGGAGTCCTGGTAGCATTGGCAGCTGAGGTTGCAGCCCCTCTCTGACTGGCATCATGGTCAATGCTTTCCTTACCCTTTCCCTTTCCCTCAGGCTTACTGACCCCACATGGGGGTGGGGACATGGCAGACTGAGAAGCCCTGGTGTGGATGTGGTTGGAGAGGGCAGGTGACAGGGGGTGATGGCACACAT